AATTCACCAAAGCACTTGCGAAACACAGTGGCTTCCTAGTGCTACCGTTACATTCAGATACTGAGATACTTGCCCTTCCATGAAAAGACCCACATGCACACCGTACAGTCAGACCACAGAATGACAACAGGATATACGTCTGTCTTGTGACTCACTACATATGATGTTACTCAACATACTTTTACATCACCTCCCATATGGTCTAGCGGTTAGGATTCCTGGTTTTCACCCAGGCGGCCCGGGTTCGACTCCCGGTATGGGAATCAGCACTTTTATTATCTTGCGATTAACAATTCTAGATTTACACCCGGGTAGCTTGCAATTCATTCCTAATCGAGAAATAGTACCCAATTTCTACCTAAATTAAAAAAATGACAAAATACTTGGTTGTGGAGTGCGTTGATTGTTGGTCATGGCTACATGTAGATTTAGGTGTTTTCCCTGATGGTCCCTGTGCAACCGAAAGGGAGACAATATTGCGGAGGGAGGCACAGATAGGTTAGGGTAGCAGAGGTGGATGAATAGTCCGGCGTTCTGCCTTCACGGATCAAGGAGTCTTGATCGATGCAAGAGTTTTCTCTGCAGAGACTGAGTGGGTTTGTGAAGTCCGTGATAAGGTTAAAAAGTGTAAGAAAGATCAAAAGTTGACGGCTTCTCACTCTCTTCACTTTTAAAGGACCCTGTAAATTGCTCTGGAGTAATTGCTCTCGACAACCTCCTCGTGGCTGGCTCTGGAATAACATTGCCCGAGGGCAAGCTGTAAATTCTCAGAAAGTGCAGATAAAAAAATGGAGAGTCCCTTTATACTGGAATTTTTCGTGGAAATCAGCTCGCAAAGATTATGCCGATTCGCTGGAAACCATGCAACACAAACACGGCATGTTTTTGATCAGCACTATATTATTTCAAACATCGACAACATTGAAAACATTTTAATCGCAAGACGGCAATTCAGAACACATTTGAATAAATCTGGGTGAAGGTCAAGGGCAACAACTTACAGCGCCTTTCGGACATTGGGAGGATGTCTCAAAGCACTTCATGCAGCTTTCTGGCTACCCGAGCCCTGGGTGTGGGTGGTGGGGGGGGGGTGGTGGGGGAAGGAGACAGAGGATTGGAAAGATGACCAAAAGCATAGTCAAAAAGGGGGGCTTTAAATTTGGGGAGGGAGGGAGTGGGTTAAATTAGCACTCTGGGACACTACCCTGATTGAGGGGAGCTATATAAATGCAAGTTGTTGTTGTTGCTGGGGTTGTGGGATAGAGGAATGCAAAAGCAATTCCGATCACAGACTGATCCAAGTCTCCGGTCTCTATAGGAATTCCCTGCCAAGATTTCCTTGCTCAAGGTGAAGCGTGCTATCAGCATGATGGAGACCAGCCAACAGATTGGGAAAAAGCTTATCTGCTCTCGGGAGGGTAGCTGAGTCTGAATGACTGTCAAGGCTGAGCCTTGAACCCAGACCCCGTGAATGAAAGTTTGAAGCTTTCTTGTTCGATTTACAAAGCCAAACACGATGAATAGTTGGAAAAGAATTTTGCTACAAATTAATTCACAGATGTCAGTTTCTGATTTCTGGGCATCTAGCCTCTTCCTCCTGCTCTCTGCCGTCTGCAAGTTCAGCAGTGATAGCCTTTGAATCTTTTCTCCGGTAGATTTAATTGGCAAGACAAAAAGGTCATCCCCTGCCCTTCTTAGCACAATGGCAGAAAAGTTTCACTAAAGCTTTCTTTCTCCCTCCCTCTCCCCGCTAAACAAAAAGCAATCCATGGGAGTTCAGTGCTTATTCTCAGAACAGATGTTTAAGTACACATGCAATATGAAACAGAATGTACGTGCCAATACATTTGTGTCGTCCTCCAAGTCGGAATAACTGGAGCATCGTGCGTTCATTTGTGTACGTGAACAGCCAGTGTATTAAGCTCAGCAGCACAATTAAGGCACAATGAATAACTTTGCCCTTAGGAGATGGCACAAGGTAAAAATCACCATGGCGATTACATCAATTAAGGTGAACTTCGTGCATTTCCTGCTGCTTTGCAGGCTGGAGCACTGCATGAAAACCAGACAATACACGTCAAGAGAGTGGGATGAGAGAGACAGAACTCATCCGCTTGAATTTTAAAAGGAAAAGATGTAGACGTGTACCATCTAAAATCTCAGTGTGAGGAGAGAGAGAGAGCTCAGCAACTGCAGTACAGGTATCATTTATTAACCAATGAATGATCCTCTGCACAGCCCACAATGAAAGATTCCTGGTGTTCAGCGACACGATCAGGGAGAATATACATGCAGATTAAAAGCATTCCATTCAATTACACTGTATAGTGCTATTCAATCAAGGTTGTCAGATACAACATTTTTAGAAATGCACAGTGCTATTCAGGTTTTAACAGCCAATTGATTTTGAGAGCAAAAAAAAGCCTTGAAAAGCTCAGGGTAAATTTGAATTGAACAATCTGCTTTCTTATGCTGGCAAAGGGTGATGGCTCCCTCTTCTGGTTAAGCACTGCTAGGAACAGACATGTATTGTAATGTACTTGCAAATTGAAGATTTGAAAGGACATTTACTTGATAATCTTCCATTTTACGAAATGTTAGGCAAGCTTCCTTACGCCACACGTCTCTGTTTACCCAGCAACACGTAGGAATCCGGTTGTTAGTCGATTGGCGGATCGCTTTTCCGGGGCTGATAATCCCTTCAAAATAAAAAAGATTGGTCACTCAATCTACGACTGTTTGTGGGGCACTGCTGTGCCGTGTTTCACTCACACAATATACAGTCAATTCACTTTACAGTATATTCTGTCATTCGCTTTGAGATGTCTCGAGAATGCGATAAGCCACTATATCAAATGCAAGGATTATTATTGTTGTTATATAATTGCTGGAGCAGACAATGTGTTCAACCCCTTGAAAACCAGGGGACTGGTGCACTAACAGTGATTTCCATCCTCCCCCTCTCTTGGACAACATTGCTGATCCCAGTTAGTAATTTCTCTTCTCCTCTCTCTGCCTCTACCTGCTGTATAAACATAGGTGATCCGAATCTAGCAGCAGCAGCAAAGACAGATGACCACAACCAGGTTTAGCAGCTTAAGTGCATCAGTACCTCCTAAAGCGCTCTAGGACACTCCCTTGCATAAGGGGCACTATATAAAGTGTTGCTGTTGAAGTAGTTCCAGCATCATTCACTTGTACTGGGAGGGGGAAAAAAGAGCAGCAAGAAAAAAAGCAAATGAACAGACATGCTTTCCTTCTGGCCAACAACAACTTGCATTTATATAGCGCCCCTTACGCAGGGTAGCGTCTCAGAGTGCTAAAGCCACTGCTCACTTTGGGACAAGATGACTATGCAGTTGTGGAAAATATTAACAGCAGATTTGTAACGGTTCCTGTAATTTGGTACATTTTTGCAGAAATAAAATGGAAAACATGAGAATGCCAGAAATCTAAAACAGAAACATTGGAAAATTAAGCATTGCAGGAACTGAAAAGAGAAAAATAGGTTGTTGGGTGTGACCTTTTTGGGTTCAGCTTTTTAAAAAAACAAATTATAATAATCCTTGCATTTGATATAGCGCCTTATCACATCTTTGAGATGTTTCAAAGCGCTTCACAGAATATATATACGTTGCGGGCGAAACGCGGGAGTCAATTGCACACAGCAGTGTCCCACAAACAGTCGTGGATTGAACTGACCAATTTATTATTTTTTTTGAAGGAATTATTACCCCCCGGAAAAGTGATCCACCAACCTACCTCCTAGCTAGGTACACAGAGGTGTGTGGAGTAAAGAAACTTGCCCAATATTTCAACCTGCCAGGAATCGAACTCAGATCGCTCGCTTCCGAGGCGAGTGCTCTAACCACTGAGCTACAGGACTCCACTCCAAATTACATACACTGCACTAGTCTAACAAATTACTATTTGCCAGATTCTGCGCATGACGGTCCCTGAATAATGATCAGCAAGCACTACTTTGAAGAAGTAAGTTTGTTTTCAGTGTAGTACAGTACATCCCGAACGAGATGTGCCATTGTTAGCCCTTTACAGCCCACCACACAAACCTGACATAACAGCTGTATGAAACATGACTCACTGTGAGTAACCAAGCAAACTGCCGCTCGCAGGACATTTCTCAAAGAATGGACCTTGCAGTTACCTTAGATGTTTGTGGCACCTGCCTGCCACTGCATGAGAGACACTGGTGAATTCTACAAGTGACTCTCTTCCAGGACAAAATGAGCAAGTAACGCAATGCGTTCATCTTTTAAATGGTATTCAAAAATGTTGCAATTTGCCAAGGAACACTGTGTTGAAGCAGAAAACATTGATCGCTTACAGAAACAATGGTGAAAGTAATGATAAAGTTTGGAAAATAACTCAACACGATCACACATGCATTCTACAATGAACATCTATTAGTGCAAAGTTTCCTGATAGCTTCCGACTTGCAAAATAACACACATGTAATACAGAATCATCAGTGTGGCAGAATCTAAGTCAGTCAATTAAGCAATGGATGGTATTCCAAAACACGGTACTTGCTCCAATTGTTAAAACTTGTAATGATTTGGTTTGTTGGCATTGTTTTCAGCTGTTCAGAAGTTGCACCAAGTTAATTTACACGTTTATAATCCCTGCAAAAGCTTTGCTAGTCCTAAAACTGTTAATTGTTGCAATCACAAAGGCAGTTTCTCTTGTGAAAAGCTGTTTTTAAATTAGGTTCCTCCTGCTTTCATGACAAAGCATTTGCTTGCTGAGGCAGAAAAGATCATCTGCTTCCATCCATACTTATACTAATATTACATAAAGAAATGAAGCATCACAGTTACTGCTTCCCACTGTGCATTTGTGAGCAGCCAACTAACTCACTACCAACGCACTGATGAATGGCCTCTTACACCACTGCCAGTCCACACGTTACAGGATGTCTTGAGATCATTTTAAAACGCAAACAGGACATGCTTCCAAATAAAACCAAGTTGATCTGAAAATGTTTTAAATGCCATTTTTACATTTATTTTGATATTTAGTTCAGAAAATCCTTCTCATTGTGTGCTCATGGTAGAAATGTGTTTTTTTTTTAAGTCAAATCTCCAATAATAGGAAGGTTCACAAAATATTATTTTAATTCTCTGAGAATTCAAGCTCTTGATTTGCTGCGGTTACATTTTCACCAGTGTTTACATTTAAAAAAACTCTAGAATCTTATATACACAATTAAACTCTGATGCTTTAATCTTCATGAATGTTGAACAATTTTGCAACTTCATTGAGGTCATCGTGTTTTTCGCCATCCTTGATCACCTGCAACAAGTAAATAAGATATTGAAGTGAAATGAAAAGGGAAAAATGCAGAGAAAACATTTGCAGCATTTTAAAAATAGACTCCCCTACTCCCCCACCCACCCCCTTCCCCCTTTATATTTTGACTACATTTTAGTCTTCTTCCCCTCCCCTTTGGATGCCCGGCATGCTGTGTAAATCACTTTGAGACATCATCACAATTCAAAATGCGCTATTTACATGTGTACTGGATTTAGGACCTCCTGAGATTTGTGCAGTCCCCAGATGAGTGTGGAGAAATCATCTGTATCCAAGCACTCGCCAATCACACTCATTACTAGGGGGTCTGAGGCGATGCACGCACCAGACATATCTGCCCTAAATGACCCATGTATGAAGAACTTTGGAAGAGATTGGAATTTCATTAAGTGTACAAGTTAAGCCTGTGGAAATAATTTCATGTAGCTGGAGCAAGTTATTGGTTGCATCTTTATAACTATGATACAGAATTAGGGTTCTCGCATTGTTTCAGAACTGTAAAATTGTTACAACTTTACATTGATATATTTTATTTATATATATGATTAGCTTTATTCAAAAAACATCTCTACAGAGACAAGTAATTGCAATACTAACCTTTCTGGCAACAGGCATCCTGTTAAATATATTCCACAACAGAATTCCCACGACAACTTTCTCTCTCAGGTAGAATATGACGCCTTTGCCATACTCCTCTCCTTCCTCAGGTGGTAGGGCTATAGAAACAGCTCCAGCAGGTACACTCACAGTGGTAGCTACTGCCTCAGTCTCACTTTCCGATCGGATTCCAGTACCTAAATTCAAAAGTGAAATAACTATTAATTGCGGCGAGCACAAAAACACCAGTATAAAAACACTAAGCTCTCCGAGATGCCATCCGGCGTGAAGGGCGCTATATAAATGCAAGTTGTTGTTACATCATACTGTAACAAACAACCACACATTTGGACAACGCAACATTCAAAAATCTTCATTCCGTGTCTTTGCTCCCAGGAGACGAGACACAAGCAAGCTCAGGGCGACTTGGCTAATTTTCCCTTCCTTTCTAAATGGAAGCGCAGTGTCTCTGCTCTCTTATCTTCTCCCCTCCACCCCAACAATGCTAAGATCAAAGAATGTAACACTGGCAGAATCAGTTTATATTAAACCAGACAACGGGCAATAAGCAGAGACTCGGGTCACTTACCTGATTCCTCTGTTGCAGCTTTGGGGGTATCTTTAACAGTTGCTTTAGCGAACACTGCGACAGTAGGTAAATTACTATCCACAATGCCAATGGCTTCATATCCTACATCAGGGCCCAAATCACTCCTGGAACAAATACATTTTAATTGGAAATCACATTCAATCATTCAATTAAATTCCCAGCAAAATCTGTTCAAAGAAAACAAATGTTCTTTATAAATCATCTAAATGAATTGTAGTTATCAACTGGAGGACCCAGATCCAACTCGTACCAAAACATGGATTGATGCCAATAAGGCTTTGCAGCTCCAGTCATGTTCTCACCAGCGAGTCTGCCACTCACAACAGCATGGTCATGATGCTCCACACGTCTCCTGCCCAATTTAATGTCATAGAAACAAGCAGCATCCCCAGCCTGTAGGACATAAAGAGAATGCAAGATGAGCGCTGAGTTGTCCATACTTCTTTTATTTAAGAGATCAAACACACATTGCAGTGACACCTTTCACAACCGGATTGTCTTGCGAAAGTTAGCAAAATCTTTTTATACAAAGTTTCGTAATTCTACGCTTTACACAATACATACGTTATTCCTGCAACAAAAGTTTCGCAACAAAAAATAGATAATTGCACCACGCACACACGGCACATGGTAGCTTTGTGGTCAGAAATGTAATTTACTAAGTTCCTTATTAACTTTAATACTCACCACCCAAATATTGGAGCGGGCTTGCAGTTCTGCATTTACTCTGAACCCACCAAAGTCCGAGTCCACCTCCAGTCCCCCTGTCTTGGCCATCTCCACATTAGGCTCAAGACCAACTGCTGCAACAACGTGATCAGCCTCGATCTACCAACACGAAAATACAACACCTCAGTATTGATGCATTGAAAAGACAGTTTATCAATGCGAAACTACATTTCTTGGCACTTTACTCACCGTTTGCCCGCCCTTCAGCGTCAGGACAACCTTCCCTCCAATATATTTTGCGGATTTCACAAATGTATTGGGCATGACATTAACTCCCTCTAAAATGGAAAAATTCTTGGGTCATAGAACACATCACCAAAATACACTATATCATAGAATTATACATCACAGAAGGAGCGCATTCGGACCATCGTGTCTGTGCTGGCTCTTTGAAAAGAGCTATCCAAGTCAATCTCACTCCCCCGCTCTCTTCCAATAGCCCTGCAAACTTGTTCTCCCCCAAAAATATTCTCAGATCTAAAATATTTTATAGTCTTCTGTTAATGAAACAGTACTGTTCCTGTAAACCTCACATAAGTCGGATCAGTTGGGACCATACATTGAATACAAATTATGCCAAGTATGAGTTATGTGAAACTTATAAATAATAGGAAGTTCAACAGGACTTGGGTAGATGTATGATTTAGGCGATTACTTAATTTATACAGATCAGGTGTATGTGAATTTTACTGTATTTAAATTTTGGAGATGGGGAAATGCAGGGATAAGATGTGCCAATCTCAAAATTTATCATTTATACTTATAACATCAATGCTTCCAGCTAATCATTTAAAAAAATCTTCCATAATCATAGAGTAGATTTTAACCGTGAGACTTCTAGCAGGACACAAGAAATAACTAATAATGGCTGACCATTCTTTCCTCACACTAACCATGTAACAGACACCAAAATCAAACTGATAAAAATCTGATAAATGTCAACAGTAGCTTTATTATTGTGATACTTAACTAAAATGTAAAAATGAAGGTCGTATTAATCCAAAAAATTTGAACAGCATTCTCCTTATCCAGTTTTCTCTTCTTACACTCCCGTTTTCTTCACCCCTCTATTTCTCTTCATTTCTTCATCTAACAATTCCTCAATTCGAAATAGTTAAATGTGCCTATTTTAGAATTAATAAGAATGCTCTTGATCTTACCTTTCCTCACCTTCTCAGTTGTCCAGTTGCTGAGGTAGTCTGGTAGGATTTTGCCCATGTTGCCTTTCTCTGGGAATATCTGCTTCACTTCAACTCCACTCTTTCGTGCTGTGGTTTAACAGATTTATGGTCAAAAGATTTTGCTCGGCAAGAACCTCAAATCATAAGTAAGAGTTTCAATACCTCACAGCACACCTTTTTATCGGCTTAATTGTAAACAATTTTCTTCTAACTGAAAAGGCATATTCCAGAATAGATTCACAAAAAATCTATTATTAGCCTTCCCTTAGGAATAGCAAGATAGGGAGATAAATTATGAAATTTTAGAACTTTAACTAAATTGAATACATTTGTTTCTGGGACATTGCTGTTCACAAATTAGCTGCCACGTTGGCCTACAATTATTGTACTCAGTCACTACATTTTGCAGAAAACTCTGAGATGTTTCGAGACGTTTCTATGTGCAATAAGGAATGTAAGCATTATTATAAGTGAGGTGACATTCAGAAAATCTAGGCAAGATCCCAAAGAAAAGTTAAGCTAGTGAAAAAAACTAGCAAACCATCTCACACTTTATTAAATTGAGTCTGTTATAAACAGTTTCCTTTCATTTGCTCTCTAATTATTTACAAAAAAAATGAAACCGTACCATGTTTCCCCAAAGCACAGGCCAATTCACTCCCCAGAAATCCACCACCAATAATGACGATAGACTTCACTTGCTTCATAATCTGCTCCAAAGATCTAAAATCTTCTATCTGTAAAACAATTANTTTTTAATATTATGAATATTCACAACAACAAAAGTTAGGAATGCTCAAAGATCCCCAGTAAGAAACAAGCTACAATAAATGTTTTCTTCCTGTTGATTAGGTAATTATTTGCACTTAAAAGTGAACGGCAAAGATAAATGTGTATTAACCCAAGATTAAGCAACGGGGACTTCCAGTAAGGTATACTGTGGGTACGATGCTGTGTGAAATGCTCCTTGGTACCAGAGTTTAAAGTGAAGAAGTGTGAGGTCATCCACTATGGATCCAATAAATGGTAAAACACAATATTTTCTAAATGGTGAGAAACTAAGAACTGTGGAGGAACAAAGGGATTTGGGTGGATGTCCACAACATGCTTTTAATCACCAATTCAGGCCACCATACTGTGCAAACCCAATTTCACATCCCCACCATCCTTATGGTCTTAGTTGACTGCCAAATGCTAATTCAGTGTATTGCCAAATTCGGGGCATACTTTGTGGCTTATGGACACAAGCCATAGAAACTGGCCAAACTCATTTGATACAAGACATTTACAGTCGTCACTCTGGACTGGATTCAAACCGAGGTCCCTGAAGTTAGTTATTTTCAGAATGCAAACCTTCACCAACTGGAAACAATTTGAAGTGAGGGCTTCACTTTGTTTCAAATAACATGGCAATTCGCCAAACACAATGTCGTAAAAGGTTAGACATGACTAGTTTTATAACTTTGCACCAAAACAAACTATATTTTTGCAACCTTCTTTAAAACCTTTAAATGGAATTCACGCTAAATCATCAAGTGAAAAGGACTGGTGCAGACAATTTAAATAGAGAGATTGTCTACAATTCGTCTACATTTTAAAAGTAGAACTCATTAATTCAAACTTGAATTGTTAGAAAACAAAGTAGTAGTTTGAGTGTTCAGGATGGAAATGGTTGGAACACTGCACACAGCATCTCTGGGGAACACCTGTAGGAACAGTACAAATGTGACTGTTACAAATGGCATTAGAAAAGGAATAAATGAAAAAAACAGCATGGGAACACTATTTAGGGCACCAAAGAGGACAGACATCCTGAATACTGCTCCCACGGGCTGTGCTAGTTTCAGATCATTACCCCTATGTTTGAAGTAGAACTGATGAATAAAAGACACCAGATGCATGAAGACAGCAGTTGGTTCAATCTCCATGCCAAGAGCTGCTACCTGAACTACCACATAAATGGCTTTGCACCACTAGTTAAGCCCATCTGTGCCTCAGTCTGTTGTGAAGTTCATATCAGGGGCAGAGGAAAACAGCTTTCCCATGGCACTTTGTGGATAATATAATATACTGCAACCATGAATTTATCTTCAAATTATATCTTCTTTTCCAATATGCAGATTTTACAAAAAAAACACAATCCTTGTACAGAAAATAATTGGCCTCACTCTGTGCTTAACACACCAGATATATTTTCTGAAGTGCTCTCCTCATTTTCTTGGGACATTATATCCGATTCACAGCAGTCCACCATCTATCATGACCTTGTAACAACTCTCAACTCCATTGGAATCAGTTTCACAGATGCTGAATGCAGAAGTGCAGATATTTTCTCCCCCCCTTCCCAACTCAGTAAGTTGATTCCTCAGTCAGTTTAAGACAATCTCTTCTGGATCCCCACCCCTCTTCAAAATGGAAGTAATTCCAAGCTAAACCACCAGCTGGTTTTGAGACAAGAGGATGCGTACTGTAATATCAAAGGAACTTCTACCAGACATAGCTTTCCCTTCTTCTGCGTTGCAAACCTTGTCTGGAATGATCAAAACACACTGCAGTCTCCATTACAGAAACTGTTCTCAGTCCCATAGTTATTTGTACAAAACAGAAACTCGGGTTTGTTTTACCTTTAGCAGGAATTATCATTATTATTAATGGGCTATTATTCAGTTTTGTTTTGGCACAAGTATCATCAATCAGCATTGTTTTACAGCTGAAACTATTTTTAAAAACACTTAATATATTGGGTGTCAGGGTGGAATAAAGTAACCGATGTTGGTGTTTAAAATCTAAGATACACTTTCCCACTGGATTGTTGAAACATTTCCACTCGTAGTTTTGGATAAATTATTTTTTCTTGCCGCACATTCATGGCTACCCATTGTTTAGGTTCCAACCACAGCACCTTTAGTCCATATCCCAGACCTAACCTTAAACATACCATTACTGCTGCACTTTTTCCTCCCTTACTTCGATTCAATATCTGCAAAATCATCCTCGGTCTTCTCTGCTGTAACTCGAGCTCCCTATCTGAATCCATTGTCTCACGTAGCTCCCTCTAAGTCCTCAGTAAGTTCTTAGTAGACAGCTAGTGGAATGCAATGGATAATTCATGATCAATATTCAGCAACTGAAAGGTTGCAATTCTTTTCAAAACTTAGTAAAGTGTATTTCTTGCAGCCCACACTCCAAATTTATGATCAGTTGTAAAGAGTTTATGCAATGCCTCTCAGCTACCTCGATTGCATTGAACAGATCTACTGTTAAGAACCCTGATGCCTTTGTAAACACCATGTAGACTATCCTTTGGCTTCAAGATTAATGGTTGTTAGATGGACCAAAACAAACTATGAAAAAGACTATGGTAGCAAAGGAAAAATATCCAACAGACTTTTACTTGATCAGATGTCTGCCCTTATGCATTAAATATCATTTGAAAATGAAGGAAGCTTTCCCAACTGACTAACTGGTCAGGATAAAGGTACAACACACTGAAACGGGGGAGAAAGTTGGTAGCATAGGCTTTTGGACACTGCTTGATTTGTGGCTCTTTTTACCCAACCACACAGAAGTAACCCCCATTTCTAACTGCATAAATCTACCAGCATTGGGAGGGGGAAAACCCACTGCAAATTAGACATTAACCCAGTTTCAAACAATTTCTGCAATCAACAAAATGTCTGTGTTGAAGTCATTAGTAGAAGTACCTACAATTAGATTTCCAGGTTTACATCCGTCAATTAAAAATTGCTCATTTACCTCTGTGGAACATGGAACATTTGAGTTGAAAGCCCAATGCATTCAGTGTTTGGGAGGAAGATAAGAGCCACAGAAAATCTTAAACCAGGTGCATAGTAAATACAACAAACAATATTGTACAGTTACCCTTCTGAATAGAGTAGTTCTCTTTCGCACATCCTCTCCCGCTCTTTCAAGTGCCGGAATGTTTCGTGGGCTTCCACCTATGGGCACAGATAGGAAATTTAATTAATTGAAAATAAGTCCCAAGTTTTAGAAACAATAAAATGACAGAACATCAGCTTTCACTCCAATAGATACTGACAATGTGTAGCTCAATTTCAGTCTAACTGCTAAATTCTACACAATTTGGCATTGAACACACACACACACACACACACTCACACTCCTGTCACTGAAACACAGAACACACTTTGTGTTTAGTTAGCTGCTTTTTGCAGATAGCCAAATTTATGTTATCAATGCTCGAGTTCGTATTGCAGATTTTACACAAAATGTTACTCAAAGCGATTAGGACTGGGATGGAGAAGGAGAAAAGATAAGATTGCAACAACAGTTCTGAAACGGACATGTTTCACAGCATGTAATTCTGATACAAAATAGCAGAAAAGTACTTAATCTTACACATAAAACAGTATAGTGTAAAAACAAAGCTTAGAAGAACTGCGCAGGTGAGCAGCAAAAATCTCAGAAATGTACCTGTTGCTATTAAACATTTATCATACGTTATCTCAGCACCATTGTCCAGCCATACTTTATTCCCTCGGGCATCCATCTGAACCACCTGCAGGAAAAGAAACAAATGAAGCAATCTTGTGATTGAGAGATTTTGAACTGCAAAGTATCATCACTTTAATAACAGAGTTACTGCCTTCAAGATCATTCTCATTATTTGAACTCTGTGGAAATGAGGCTGGGCAGCACTAAATTTCCATATAAAATGTAACAGTATTCCTACATATAAACACAGTGTTAATCTTCCAATAATACCATTTACAAGATCACTACAAAATCTGGTATTACATGAAACGTCACGCAGTTGAGTACTCATTTTTGGTGATTTACCTTATGGCTAGTTAACACTGCCACTCCTCCATTCTCCATATAAGGCAGGTCTCGAGGCTGAATATAGAAAGACGGTGGTTGGAAAAAAATGCTGTAGAGACAAGCAGACAAAACTTCATTTGCAATTTTTGAAATGTGTACTACCTTTCATTTTCTATTAAAAAAAAGTTTTGATTGCCTCATTACAGAGATTAGAAAATTCAAATGCAATCATCGCAAAACATTAAATGATCATGCTGTTTAATAGAAGAAACATTATAACAGAAAATGTGTGTTGTTACAATCATGATTCAGCGATCATATAAATTACAGCACAGGGGGAGGGCATTCGATCCACTGAGGGCAATTCATCCACTTGAGCTAATACGATAATCCCAGTTCAACTGTTTATTTGCCTCTTCAAACACTCTGCGTTTACCTCCGCTCTTTGCCATTCCATTGCTTGAACTTTAGTGTTTCTGTCACAGTGGCATCGTCAGAAAACCACAGCTCTTTTGAAAGCGGTGGCCGCATGTACGGCAAATCTGGTTCATCAGAAATAATCAGGACCTAAACAAAATGTACAACACATTGAACAGAAGCAACTTCAACTCCAATAAATAAACATCTGCTTTAAAGTAATAATGCGCTAAGCATCCAGAAACATGAGTGCTGGAAGGTGGTTGCAAGAGTAGAAGCGCGCCAGGTGTAGAGTCCATGTAGTGTCTGAGTCGATTTGCAATAAATTTCAATCTTTATTCCTAAACGTGTCTGACATCAGCCTCTATTCTAGACTAGGAATAGGAATAATTATAATAATAATAATCATTTAGTCATCTTCATTATGAAACATGGTCATTTCGCCCACAAAATGTAGTCAATTCACTTAAAGTATATTCCCTGAAGCGCTGTGAGACGTTTCGAAGACATAAGGCACTATATCAAATGCAAGGATTATTATTATTTATATCGTGCCCAGTAGCCGCCTACCCTGGCTCCAGGATCTCGTGCACGGATAGATCTGGCCGCTGCAAATGACGCAGTTCCGCCTCCGATCAAAAGAAAGGGGACGTGTGGTGGGACCTCAGGCCGATCACTGACTGGTAGAATTTCTATTGGAAGAGAAAAGCATTTGGCAAACACTGTACAGCATGTAATGTTAACCCGTGATGGGGAAGTACCATCCCATTTAACAGCAACATTAACATTGATCATCTAGCCATTAGAAAGTCAATGAAGACAAATATTTCCATTGATACAAAATACAAATGAGCCCAAAATGCAAACTGGGCAAAAGCAGCACTTCAAATTTACACTGAGATTATTCAATGGAGTGTTTCGATCATTGGCTGGATCCACGATTTAACTGATGATAAGATTTTGAGTTTGTGTTCAGAGATCCCACACAGTATTAATAGGGATAGAACATCTGAAACTGTGTGTTGGGCGTATGTCTGTATGCGTGCAACCGTACACGATGATGAGTTGTGGAGGAAAAGAGCAAGAGAAGTGAGGAGAGGTGCTTGGCGATATATTTTAATAAGAACCAATTAATTACAGTAAAAACAGAAGTCGCTGGGAACACACAGCAGGTCAGGCAGCTTGCATGGAGAGAGGAAAGTGAATTAACGTTTCAGGTCAATGACCTTTCTTTTCTGCATAGATGCTGCCTGACCTGCTGCATGTTCCCAGTGACTTCTGTTTTAATTCAGATTTCCAGCATCTGCAATATTTTGCCTTGGGTTACAGTAGTAGTTAGATTGTCAATATTACACTGTGATCATAGGATGTTTACACTTTATTCTTATTCCATAAAAGACAGTCAGGACCCACCTTTGGTCTCTTCCTTATCACTCGTCTCTTTCCCAGACACTTGCTTAGTTTCAGATTTCTGTGCCACTTCTTCTTCCGAAACTGTTTTCACTTCTGTTGGTGACATATTCTTCAATTAAAAAAAATGGACAATATTTGGAGCAATTGAGTATCAACTAAAACACTGAAGATATTTCAAATTACAGAAACGTTAACAAGTTTGATCGTAAATCTTTTACATGTAATGTCCACTGCTCTAACTAATATATATAAAATCTAGTTTTACTCTCACTCCATTTACACCTTGATCCTTTTCAGTGATGCTCCACTCAGAAATTTTCACGTTAAATTTCATTTCACAGATTCTCTAATTAATACATTCGTAGAAACAAAGCTGCTTTGCACCTAATGTAACTTACAAGGCGACAGATTGTGTTAATGAAGGAGCTTATATAATAGGTTACAATTATGCTAAAGTTCCTTGAAAATCCACATACCTCCTTCTCCTGATGCCTCTTCACCTATAAAATTAAAGGGAAACAATATTTTGAGCATTTTGCATAGATACAAATTGAAAACTTAATAATGACGAATGTGCAAGCTGAAACGTCTTAACATTACAATGAAAACAAGACATAAATACATGTCTTTTGCTGAACAGTTATTTAACTATTGGCAAATTATTGACTGCACAGATCTAATTTACAAATGACTTTTGTGCATTAAATTGTAGTTTGTAATTAAAAAAAGCCCTAAGGAGACATTCCTGGAGAAGTTAGTTCTTGGGGAGGAAAAAAAAATGACCAGTTAATCATAACTTTCACAATTCAGTGCCAAAAGCTTTCCAACAGTTCACTCCCTAACTTTACTGAATGGTATGTTCAAGGCAGTGTAACCAGAGAGGGGGGGGTGGGGGGGAAAGTAAATTAATTTGTTTGTTTTCTTCAATACAAAGTTATTTTCTCTTTGACCGAGCCTTCAGCTCCCCTCTCAACTCTCTAGCCCCTCCTCGCCCCCTCCCTTCCCTCCCCTCACCCTGACCATTTCCCCCCTCCTCGCTCCCTCCCTTCCCCTCACCCTGACCATTTCCCCCTCCTCGCTCCCTCACTTCCCTCCCCTCACCCTGACCATTTCCCCCTCCTCGCTCCCTCCCTTCCCTCCCCTCACCCTGACCATTTCCCCCTCCTCGCTCCCTCCCTTCCCTCCCCTCACCCTGACCATTTCCCCCCTGCTCGGGTCCTGACCCAACGTCCAGCGCTTTGGGACGTCCTCCCAACGTGAAAGGCGCTCTATAAATGGAATCTTGTTGCTGTTGTTATGATAATGTCAACTGTTATGAAGGATTTTGGAACTTCTGGAAAGCTATCACAGGCTCTGTCTGATGCCTGAAAGATAGGAACAAGATGCCTGTGGATGATATTGGAACCTTTGTTGTAAACGACTTGAACTGAAGTACTTCAAGCAAAAGCAACGACACGAACTTCAACGGTAGCCTTTGTAAACAATAGGAAACAAAGCAACAAGTTTGAGGAGCGAGATATTTTTATGCAATTATGTAACCTCGGGACCTGACTTGGTTCAGCTGTTTAACGGATACACTTGCAGGCCAAGAGAGATTTAGGAAGACTTCAAGCAAAAGCAGCCCAATTGTTCTGATAAAATGAAAGTTGTGTTGCACAAACATCTATCAACTCTACTGAGACTGTGATCGGACAGATGACAGTACCAATCTCGATTCCCCCCGGCTCAATTACAAACTGAAATACTGTAGAAAGCAGCTGCAAGAAAACTGTCCTGAAGCAAACCAGTAGTGAAATACTGCGATACAATAAACACTGGTATTGTAGACATCAATAAATCACAGATAATTATTGCCTATGTTTTAGACATACACCTATCATTTTCCATCACAAATATGTACATAAAGGGAATAGAGTCAAAAGCTGTCCCTGTAATAACACTAAGAAACTAAGTATAAAGTCATTGCAATGCATAGATTATGATTTTGAGGCCTATTTTCTTTCTACACTTTCTACGATCGCACAGCTATTCCATGTTGAAGGCAGAGAGGACACAATACCCATTTGGTACTGTATCTACTGTGTCTTCAATACAGAATTGAACCAGCTTTGTAATAAATGCAGATTCCTGCTCAAGACAAAAACACAATTCAGTCACATCAGGATTCATAAGAACTTTTTAAAACTTAAGAAATGAATAGTATTTGTAACTATTGGAAAATAAAACATATAATTTAAATAATTTAATTTAATATGGAATCCAAACTAACATTCATATACAGAAGTGAGCTTCTTTAAAAAGACAAGCGCTTATTATAAAAGAGAACATTGACAGCAATACGTACTCTTGGTTGGTAATGCTCCGGTTCTATGTGCTCGTTGCGTGATTTGTGCCACTCTTTCATTGTACCTCTTTTTATCTTCCTTCAGTACTTTATATACCTGTTAACAAAATGATTTTTTGTATAATATTTAGACACAACCAGTGGCAAATTACAGATAATCCAAACAAACCACTTGTTTTGTATTGCAAATACTTATAAAAGGGCATTTTATTTTTGTCTACTTCAATCCATAAAACATCAAGATATAAAGTAATGATCTTACTTCAAAAAAAAGTAGGGAGGGTCAAAAAGCAAAAAGTCTCATTGCATTATATCTGATTCTTAATGCCAGACAATTGCAAGGTGGCATTGACCATAGCCTTGAAGCAGACACATACGCTCCCTTGACCACAGGCCACACAGACAAAGACAATGCAGTAAAAATGCAAGAATAAAGTGGGATCTTGCACCATTAAAATAAAAAAATTAAATTATACCTTTTATAAAAATGAAGGTCATTTTATTCAAGGTGACAAAGAAATTAGTTAGGTGAGTTGATCAATTGACAACTGTCAAGGAAACTAGAACTTTAGATGTACAAGTGCAATCATAAAGTACAAATTCAGTGATTGTACAGCACTGGTAACAATTACAAAACTGTGTTCTGTAAAGCAGTGCTGGAAAAGGTTCAGGAAGAAGGTAATAGGAATAGTTAATTCAAAGATGTTAAGCAAGCCTTATTTAGGTAAAATACCAATGACATTCCAACAACAACTTGATAATTAAAAATCATACAGGGAAAATCAAAGGAAGGCAATATGGAAATAAGGAAACCGAAGCTTAAATACAGGCTTGGTGCCACAGGGTGATTCAAAAGGATCCAGAATCTGGCTCTAAATGACTCTTGTATTTCAAACTTTATATCTTTATCCCCCACAAGCATTATTACCCCAGGTGTTCAGTTGGATGTGGAAACAAAACTCATCTACTGGTGTCCACCCTGAACTAATAATAATCCTTGCCTTTGATATAGCGCTTTTCAGGCCTTCTACACGTCTCAAAGCGCTTCACAGAATATACTGTAAAGTGAATTGACTGTATATTTTGTGGCCAAAACATGGCAGCCAATTGTACACAGCAGTGTCCCACAAACAGTCGTGGATTGGATGACCAATTTTGGGGGTTGTTTTTTCCTTGAGGGTTTATTATCAGGCGTGTGCAGTAAGGAATCTTGCCCAACATTTCGCCCTACCAAGAATCAAACCCTGGTCTCTCGCTTGCGAGGCAAGTGCTCTAACCACTGGGCTACAGGATTCCAATGGTTGTTTTAAATAGTGATTAAAGATGCAATATTCTTTTTCCCAAAGCCTGAAAACAGAACATTGGTGTACTCTTTATGATTTTAACTTAACCAGAGCACTCGTGGGTCAGTTTCCCAATGTAATACCCGCCACACATCTAATTTGTAGAGAGGGTAAAGCCTGCTTACATACGCAGCTCCCCCCACGAAACTTCCACCAACAAACAAGAAGTATATGAGATTGTTGCTGCCGCTCCCTGGCACACCTGTGGACATCAAGTGCTTAGAAGAGGATCCCAGAGCAGGGAGACTGAAAGGCTTGAAAACTGCAGGCAAGAAGAGAAAAGTAGAGAAAGAAGTAATCAGGAAGAAGGTAGAGAGAAAAGCAAAAGAGAGTGAAATAAAAAATGTTTAAACCTTCAATTTCAAAGCCCTTTCGTTTCTCCTTTTGCCAGCTTCCTTTTGCACTCTGTGCAGCTCACATATTTTGAGTGATGGATTTCCAAGCCATCTAGAAACATAAGATTGATTTCCTTCATCAAACTTTACACCACCACCAAATTCATCGGTGGCCTTTCATCGTCAGTCTTTGATCGTCAGTGCCTTGTTCATTATCAGTTACTTTTATGACTTTATTTAAATCCACAAATTCAATTTTAATTCTCAAAACTACTTTTAATGGATTGTGAACACGCCATAAGCCTAAAAACTAATAAACAGCTGCCAATTTGTTTTGCAATCATTTTGAATATGAACTTATTCCATAATCAATCCTCAAAAATTACCTTTTAACAATCAATGATAGATGGTACTGATATTTTTTCTTCTCAAAGTACATTTCCATCTCTTTTTAAATGGGTAACAAAATCAATCCCCACAAAAGCCATCACAGAAACCCAGATTTTAGCATTTTTTAATTTCTCCTGTGAAATTCCGATGGAATGGCTTAGGACAATTTTTTCCCCCAGAAAATCCTAAGCAGTAAAGCCAGGAACCAAAACTGCATCTCAAGGAGTCACAATCTCAGCTACACAGTTGCATTCTATTAAAATACAATATTAAACACTGTTTTTTTTAAATTGGTGAGCGAGATAAGGCCTATTAACCAAATTAGACCAAATAAGTTCCACTTAGGGAACAAGATAAGCCCCAATCCTCCCCAATCTATTACAGGCCCCAAATTGTCAAAGGACAATGCAGACCTGAAATCGGTCTTCACGACCACCCGAGCAAGTCAGCTGACCGGATCAACTCTCCAGAATCATCGTTATGCTAAATGTACCAGATATGTTTCAGATCAATGAATTGAATTGAAATTCCCTAACTGGAAAATGCGGTAAGTACATCCCCTTTCAGTTGTTGTGAATATATTTGTTGACAAAAAGTGAAACTAAAAGGGCTGATGAAAAATACGTCACATAACAAAAAGAGGTTTGTTTCCCATTTATATAATCCACACGAGTCGAAAGTCTCCTCAAAATTAGCACAAACACCTAGGAAACAAGAAAATGAGTTGAAAGAAAAGAGCAATTAAGATCTCCAGAAAAACAGAGAAAGCTACTAACAGGAGCTGTGCTGGCACACTTGTCACTTTTTAGCTGCCCTGCTACTTACATATACACCAGCTCCTAAACTTGACAAGCCAAGAAGCACTATGTAAATAGCGCTACTGGTAGAGTCACCAGGTGCACCTCCGGAAGTCATTTGCCTGTTCATCTGCTGTTCTAAGGGAACCTTCCATCGCTGGAACAAAGTGCCTGAAGGATAGAATTTATTGCAAAAAGACAAAATGCATGAGAATTGGTGAGTAACTTATAGAAAGAATTATGGAGAATTAAAGTGTAGGGCTTCAGAGGATGTCAAACATGAAGGTGAATTTTAAGAATGAGCTATTACTATATACACACACTCCGTGAGTTGTCTATTCCATGTTATCCTTTGAGGTGTGTTTCCGATGTGAATATTCAGCACATCCAGGTAGGCTTTCATTACGTCCAGTCTTGACAATTCTATCTCTCCGCTTGCTGCACTTCCCAATGCTTCGCTCCACAAGCTGTAGATTATTCAAAATTCTGCAGCTCGTGTCTTCTCCTGCACCAAGTTTTGAGAGCCAATCACCTCCATCCTCACCCGGCTTCACTGGCTCCCCATCCCCAGAGAATCGAGTTTAAAATTCTCATCCTCACTTTTAGCCCTCCATGATCTTCTTCCTCCCTACCCCATACCAACCTGGTCTGCCCTACCATTGGTGGTCAGAATATCAGCCTTTCTGTCCCCACCCTCTGGAATGCCACCCCGGAGCCCCTCTGTCTCGCCCTCGCATTTTGCCTCCTTCAAGGCCTTCCTCTTTGACCATGCCTTCAGTCATCCTCCCATAACCTTGCCCTGCACCCTTCTTGATTCTAACCTCCAGCTTGGGTAAACCTTAGACTGTCCAGCCCCTTAGGTTGTCTTCCCAATGTGAAAGGTGCTATATAAATGCAATTTGTTGTTGTACATAAATGTAAATTTCAGTGAAAGTTGTGTTGTATTACTACTGTAAGTAAAATAATTAGAATGAACTATGCCCACCTTCCCTCTTCTGAACTTGAGTCAGTAACAACTGGTTTCATTACATCGAGGCTCGACTATGCAAACTCACTGCTTGTCGGCCTCCCCAACTCCTCCCTCCACAGGCTGCAGATCATCCAGAACTCTGCAGCCCGTGTTCTCTCCCACACCAGGCTCCGCGACCCTATCGACCCCATCCTCGCCCAATTCCACTGGCTTCCCATCACACAGAGGATACAGTTCAAGATCCTGGTCCTCACTTTCAAAGCCCTCCAAGGTCTTGCTCCCCCCTACCTCTGCAACCTCCTAACCCTCTATCATCCTGTTCACTCCCTCCGCTCAACGGGCTCTGGCCTGCTTCACGTCGCCTTGCTCGCCACACTATTGGCGAGCAGGCCTTCCGCCACTCTGCACCCACCCTCTGGAACTCCATCCCGCAGTCCCTCTGTCTCGCCCCCTCCCTCGCCACTTTAAAGACCCACCTCAAGACCCTCCTCTTTGACCGTGCTTTCGATCTCCCTACTTCCACCCCTGCTCTCCCCCACCCCGACCCCCAGCTCGGCTCTGTAACTCTTGTCTGTCCAGCGCCTTGGGACGTCCTCCCGACATGAAAGGCGCTATACAAATGTAATTTTGTCGTCGTTGTTTCTGACAATGGTAAACTAATTAGGGGTCAGTTTATCTATACGCTTTAGGACCTTGAATACTTCAATAATACCTCCCTTGAACAAAGCATTTATTTAGTTCAAACATTCTCAGTTTCAATAGCCTCTCATCTCAGGTTCTCATTACAGTATCAGCTATCAATCTACCTGCCCTTCGCTGAACCTAATCCAACGACAACACGTGCTTACTGTAATACTACGACCATAATCATGTGTATTACTCCAGGTGGGAGTAACTGACAGTTTCAAACATTTCTACAGTCCTTGCCTCATGGGATCCCTTATCCCAATTCTATATAATAATAATCCTTGCATTTGATATAGCGCTTTTCACGTCTTCTAGAAGTCTCAAAGCGCTTCACAGAATATGCTATAAAGTGAATTGACTGTTTATTTGTGAGCGAAACGCTAAATATAAATATAATTTAGCAGACAAAGGACTTGGGATCCTGGATTCATTCCTGTTGCAACACATTTAGAAAAAAATTAAGATCAATTTGAATCACTTTTGATCGATTGTTTTCTCTTTTCATGGGTATATATACTGCTTGACAGCACTGCCATTTGAATATTTTTTACCACTGACTATGCACAACGATCAATTATAAGTGCTGACTTTCAGTTTATTGACTTAACAATTTGCAATGGTACCAATATCTTTCATTTAAGCAAACAACTAGTCTGAACGTTCAAAAATGACTGCTACATTACTGTAACATATTTCAATGATCTTCTAGACTTTAAGAGTTTGCCCACTAGATTCCAAATTGTGTTTTTGCTCAATTTTTACTTCGATCACTGGACATTTATGAATATTAAACTATTATTTTTTAAATATGCAGGGATAAATAAGTCAACCTCCTGCACACAGTGATTATGAAATTTAAGCAATTCGATTTTCTGACTAGAAAAGTTTCCAAAGCTTGTATTTAGTTTAAAAGTAATAATAATCCTTGCATTTGATATAGCGCCTTATCACGTCTTTGAGATGTCGCAAAGCACTTCACAGAATATATTGTAAAGTGAATAGACTGTATACTTTGTGGGCAAAACGCGCTAGCCAATTGCGCACAGCAGTGTCCCCAAACAGTCATGGATTGAAGTGACCAAGTTATTATTTTTTTTTGAAGGAATTATTACCCCAGAAAAGTAATCCGCCAATCGACTAACAACCAGGTTCCTACTTACTAGGTAAACAAAGGCGTAAATAAGGAAATTTGCCCAACATTTCGCCGTGCCGGGAACTGAACCCAGGTCTCTCGCTTGCAGGCGAGTGCTCTAACCACTGATCTACTGGACACCACAAAGTACATAATAATCTACACTTGAAAGAAATAAAACATTTCTGGTGACGTCTGTGAGACATCTGTCAGTGTGTGAAAATTGACAAGTTACCAATCTTAAGCCATGGGTCTTCAGTATTCCTAACGAGCCTTTTAGAGGTGGTAAAACATGATTGAAAAACTAGAGCCAAAAAATGTTCCAGATTGGAGAAAGGAATTTGATAGCACTTCAAATGATCCCACTGTATATACAGAACCCGGTCGGTGCACATAATATATTCGCAAGCATTATTTTATGAAAAGAGAAACCAAGTGAGCAGTGAGTGCCTTTTTGTGGTGCTTTAAGTTACTGTCATACTATTTAAATGGAAGTTACATCAGCGTCTGCAACAACTGAATTTGGCTTTCCAAGTAAAAATTAGTTCCAACTCAATGCCAGACTATTATTTATTAATGCGTAAAATATGCAGTGGATAAAACTTCTCTGGTCAGGAGGTGACCGGGCACAGCACTGCGTTGATATTGCAATGATATTGTAATCACTCCCTGATGGGGCAATGGCAGATCCTCTCATGGGGGGTGGGGGGGGAGGGGGGGGGATTGTGCACCTCAGCCCAGCACAGGCCAAGTCACTGGCACATCTTTTGAAGCAAAGTGAGGTAAGGCAGCGAACACACATAAGACTGCGCACCGACTGCTCGCCCGCCGCAGGCACATCATGACAGGAGGGGGAGCCTGTGTTTATTTGGGACAGATCGGTCTGCCTTGTGTGCAGTGCAACGGTGGGGGTCGGAGGGGGTCACCACTGTTGCTGGTGTCCGTGCTGCTCGCCAACACGGGGAGGGGGAGGGGGAGGGGGGGGAACAGGCAACTCAAGACTCGCCGAAGACACCCCCCCGGCGAGTTGGAAAGGTGAGCAGTTGTGGGCAGAAGGAAAGTGGTGGGTCGCCATGTTCCCACGACCTTGGGCAGGACAGCGGGGGGAGGGGGAGGGGGAGGGAGGCCCAGTGTCAGTCCCGGGGCCTATGTCAGACTGGACACAGCAAAGCGCACAAACAAGTGCCGCCGCCGCACGCTTTTCCCCCTCTCGGCCTTTACCTCGCCTCTTCGCGTGGCTCCGGACCAGCGTGGCCGAGGCTCTGCTGAGTGGAGTCAACCTGTGCCACGCCACCCTGCACTGGAACATGGCTTCCCTCCGGGTAACTGCCTCCTCCCTCCCTCCGCCCCCCGACACACACACACACACACACCGCCCCCGGCACCGCTCAGAGCTGCCTGCGCATGCGCCGATCCCTGCCTGCGCGCATGCGTCATGACCCTATCCGACTCTCCTCCCCTCCCCTCCCCCCCCCCCCACAGAATTCCACCCAGTCTCAGGCTGCACAGGAGACCCCTCAGCCTTGACATCAGGCAGAGTTACAGTAATAATCCTGGCATTTGATATAGCGCTTTTCCCGTCGGGAGGACGTCCCAAAGCGCTTCACAGAACACACTGTAACGTGAATTGACTGTATATTTGTGGGCGAACGCGGCAGCCAATTGCGCACAGCAATGTCCCACAAACAGTCGTAGATTGAAAATGACCAATTTATTATTGTTTTGGTTTTTTGGAGGGATTATTATTAGGCTCTGTGTGGAGTAAGGAAACTTGCCCAAGGTTTCGCCCTCCGCCTGGAATTGAACTCAGGTCTCTCACTTGCAAAGCGAGTGCTCTAACCACTGAGCTACAGGACTCCCCAGAGTTGTGATCATCTCCTGTGTTTTGTCTCTCTCCCGTGAATCCAGTCATTTTCCACCCAATGGTCAGGGTTCGAAAATGATTTATCCTCAATGTCAACTTCGGTTGTTTACTGCAAAGCCTCAAAGGCGACTTTTTTGTTGCTGTTGTTGTTTTGATACTCCTCTTTGCTACTGCCTTGTGTCAAAGCAACTATTGCACTGTACTTCCCACCTTATAGCATGGCAATAATGCAGGAAGGAGAATGACCTCAAAAGAGCCTTATCGTGATATGTTTTTAGGAGCCGGGTAATTAAGCGAATTGAGTTTCAGGTTCAGCAATTCAGGTGTCACTGATAATACTGTATAATTCAGGATTTGTGGGACAAAGTCTGGAACTGCACACACAGTGTTTGCCACACGTTTGCAGTGTCTGTCATCTGTCAGAGTAAATGAGGATGGACATTGCACCCAATGGGATTCTCTGTTGAATGAAGCTCACTGGACAATCAGTGTTTCGGACCCGAGCTGGAGGTCGGGATCGGGGAGGAGGAAGGGTGGGGAGGAAGGAGGGCGATCAAAGGCACAGTCAAAGAGGCAGGTCTCGAGACAGGTCTTGAAAGAGACAAGGGAGGGGGCGAGGCGGAGGGACTGCGGGATGGAGTTCCAGGGCGTGGGGTGAAGAACAACTGGGAAAGATTGCCAGGAAGCTTGCCAGGACACTAAATTCATTTACAAAGCAGCTTGATCCTTTGATTGGAGACCAGCAATTTGTGGGTTCAAATTTCAAATTGTTGAGTTGCATAAGAAAAACAGGAGGGGAGAAAATACACTGAGTTTGCAATCCTCTCAGATTCTGAATGGAATCATAGAATTATACAGCACAGAAGGAGGCCAGTCGACCCCTCAAAAAAGCGACCATGTGGAATGGCTGCAGCATTCCAGCTGTACAAATCTGAATATTTATAGGCAATCAGTTCAATATCTGCAATTGTCTGTCAAGATCAAAACAAGATATTTTTTTTAAAAATCAGACAATGTAAATGGGGCAGCTTCTTTCTAATCTGGGGAGTGCACAGGGTGAGACAATGCCTGTTTAAAAAAAAGTGGAGAATGTTTTGGGTCTGATTAATGATTATTCATTTAAAGTATTCAGTCAGTGTGGTTATAACCAGTTATTATTTATTCCTACCAATCTCAAGGGCGTTTGTTTAGTGCCCGACATATTTTTCTAACCTTATGTAGATCATTTGTTTACATAAGGGCACATTTATATTATCAAGTGTACTTTGTGCTGCATTTACTTCAAAAGGGCATTGATCCATTGAAAATGTTTCAAAGAGCAAGGTCATTCTGAGATCTAAAGCATTAGGTTATGAAGACAGACTCAGCTCATTCTTTTTGGTGTAAAGAAGATTGCAAAGATATACAGTACTTACATTTCCTGTAGCATCTTTCATGTCAAGAGAATGTCCTAAAGCAATTTATAGGATATACAGTAAATGGCAGTGACTATGTTTTGTGGGTAAATAAAATATGGTCCGGATTTTGAAAAAAATATTAATAGGATACAAATGAAAGTAGGCATTGATCTTGAGAGGTGAGCTCACAAATGAAAATAAATTTAACAAGCCTCAAGCAAGAGTTGAGATGAGAAGGTTTTCATTTTGTCCTCCAGATCGTCTTTGTATTTGATAAAGTGCTTATCATACTGTCGACATATCTGAAAAGACTTCACAGGATATACAGTAGATTATAATTATAGCCAGTTTTCAGGGCTGCCCTTAGCAATGCAAACTTGATACATGAATAAATTTTGGGAACAAATTAATTTTCATTGGCTCCAAAAGCATTGCTCCAAAATATACTGAATCTCTACCTTGATTTATTGATTCAAACTCATCGACTGCAGCCCCAAGCAGACTAACATTTCAAACGACAACATGTTCAGTCGATGTCTGTCTCATGCATCATCAGCAAGAATGTCTATCAGGCAGAATAAAGGTTAATAGAATTTTATTTTTTGGATGCCAATTGGGAGTTGTTATTCATATGCTAAATGGTGTCAGTCTATTGTTGTTATTGCATAGCTGCAAAATGCGAAAAGCTGCAGAACGGCTCACAATTAGTATCTAAAAACTAGTGAAGATAGAAATGTACCAGAAACTACATGACTGATACCAAACTTCAGTTATACAAAGGATACAGATTACCTTTCTATTATACAAAAATAAATTTTATTGTAAAGATTAGAAGAAGTGGAGTGTTTCAGTAAAACAATATACTTGGAGGGCACAAAATTATAACCATTACAACTACCTGTGTTCTGAAACATGCCCGATTTATTGCTACAGGAAAGATACCAACTTGGTCATAATGCCCTTAATAAAGTTCACTCAGCTATTCAGCAAAAAAAAAGCATAAATTGTAAGGTCAAAATCTGGAATGACTAGCCTTCCTTTCACCAAAAGAGTATAATTCTCTCCCTCTCTCTATATATATTTATACTAATAAAGACAAAGTGTCTGTGTGTCTGTCTGTGTATCCAACAAAACACAATAAGCGATTGACATAGAGACATGATTTATACTTCATCGGAAAGGTCTTGCATGCATAGGTGTCAGGGGCATTTTTTTTCAAGGATCTCCTATGGTTGATGAGCTATATTTAATAAATGCTTTAATAAAGCCCCAAAATATGAGGTATGAATGGTTTCTGCAACAAAGTAGCTGCAGAGGCTATTTTGTTGTAGAAACCATTCACCCACTTCTCAAAAGATAAGTTTACACTAATATATTCTGCAACAAATGTTTGGCAATAGCTCCAGGATTTGCACACAGTATAACCCCGTCGGTTAGCGTATTTTTGATAGGAGTACTCCCAAAAGAAGTTCTCCCACTGAGTTCTTCCACAGGAGTCCTCACAGCTGAGTATAAAAATGAAATGTCTGTGTGTGTCTGTATATATGTCAATCTACATTCCATATTGGATCCTTTAGTATTCTTTATAATCATCAATCAGATCCAATTTGGGTGACAGGATCTCGTAAACACATAGAATTGGTATTTTTGATCTTTAGGCAAAATACTATTTCTACAGGGTAAAGGAAAATCTCATTCATTTGAACCTGTTGAGTCATATAAAAAGTTACTTATGGCTCTCAACAAAAGGTATTCATGACCAGGATTCATTTAAATCTTTTTAAGGTACCCCCAAGGAATTTACCATTAAAACATTTTGTAGCAAATGTTATACTATAAAGTAGAACAATTCGAAATTTGGAGACAAGCAACCTCTGAGTTGTAATCACTTGTAGGATTTCTCTCCTTTCAAACTGTTTTGTTTGAAATAGGTGAAAGGAATCAAGAAATTCAAATAGTCTGTTATGCTATTGTACCGATTTGTTTCGAGTCTCAATGTGGGATTTCTAGTTGGACAATTGTGGATAAGAACAAGATCATTCCTATAATGACCCAACAGCTGGTCCAAGAGAGCACACACCAGGACATTGGACTCATAAAGAGGCGGCTTGATGCTATAATGGGAGGACGGACGGTATTGTGGAAAGGTGAGATCTAAATGACTGAAAGGCCATCTTGTTTGAAAAACTCTCGTGACCTATTAGGTTCATAGCACTCCAAGTTTACAATTTGAAGTGCTGTAGTCAGAAGAGTTTAATGCTCAGTAACAAATGCTTACAAACTGAATGCTTTGCTACTATTTTTATTCTCACCCTTGTATTCAAATCCTACTACACTACTTTTATTCTCACCCTTGTATTGAAATACCTCCACTCCTCTGTACCCCCCCTACCTCTCTGACCTCTGTCCTCAAAACAGTACCCGTTGCCTTCATTCCTCCAGGTCTGGCCTCCTCCTCGTCCCCCGAGTCCACCGCTCCACCCTTGGCGGCCGTGCTTTCAGCCACTATGCCCCGAGGCTCTGGAATTCTTTTCCTCACTCCCTTCGCCTCGTTCCCTCTCTTTCTATTTTCAGGTGACTGCTGAAGACCTTTCTCTTCGACCGCGCCTTTGGTCACCTTCCTCCCCATCCCCCGGCTCGGCGCCGGGATCCGTTACTGTAAAGCGCTCTGAGACTCCGTCCGGCGTTGAGGGCGCTATACAAATCCAAGTTGTTGTTGTTATTCAAGCTAAGTCTCTAAATATCATTTATAAGGAAATTTGAATGAATGATAAAGAAAAAATAATATTAGAGGATATGGGAAAAGAGAAACGAGTAGATAAATAATAATATAGTTTCAATGGGGGAACTAGCACCAGTGCAGATAATAATGGGCTATTCCCAAACTTGTTCGCTACTCTATACACAGAAATCAATTTCAATTTCAAAATCAAATGTGTATAGGCACGTTTTCAAGATAAATTTGGACTGATAATGAAAAACAATTGTGCCAACAGTTAACAGAACCCTTGTGTGGAAGACATAAAAGTGCAACATTTTGAGCTAGCTTATCAGAGTCGTTGCAACACTACGATAATAAAGAAGTCTTACAATACAAGCTAAAGAACCTCTCTGAAGAAAAATAACACAACAGTAACGATCGGTTTTCTCTGCCTTGGTCGGGGTCCGACTCCGTGCTTTGCGAAGTGCTCCGAGACATTAGGCGAGAGGAAGGCTGCTGTACAAATGCAAGTTGCTGTTTGTGGTTGTTTCTGGTTTGTTGCAGTGCCAAAGGTGAGATGGTCTGAGGTCTGTTGCCTGAGCAGCAGCTGATTCGTGTGGTTGCAGTCTCTCACATCAGCCTTACACCCCTCCACCCCCAGGAGGGTTGTTATAGGAACTGGTAACAACTTCCACAGGACCCCTTCCCTCCCCACCAGCACACACACATACACACACACACACATACATACATATACACACACACCTACATATATATACACACACATACATATATACACACACATACACACACACACACATATACACACACACCTACATATATATACACACACATACATATATACACATACACACACACACATACATATATACACAACACATACATACACACACAGACATACATATATACACACACATACATACACACACACACATACATATATACACAACACATACATACACACACACATACATACACATATACACACACATACACACACATACACACATACACACACACATATACACACACACATACATACACACATACATATACACACGCATACATACACACATACATAATATATACATACACACATACATATACACACATATATATATACATACTCCCACACAACACATACATCCCTTTCGCTCTCACACATGTTCCCCCCTCCCCCACACACACATATCTCTATCCGCTCCATAAACACACACACACATATATATATATATGTATATACACACACACCGTCATGTACAGACACCCCCCCCGGGCCCCGGTGCATGCCGGGCTCGCTCAGCCTCTGCGCGTTCCATCCGGTTGTCCGACCGTTAGTTTTCGAACCGCGGCGCGAGGCGAGACGTGGCGACGGCGGCAGCGAGTGACCAGAGACCCCCCACACACACACACACACAGAGACAGGCGGAGGGGAGGCCCGGCCATGGCGCGCTCGACATTGGAGCGCCTCGTCGCGTTCTCTCTCCGCTCCTTCTCGAACTTTCTCCTGGCGCTGCTGTCGGTGGCTCAGAGGTGCCGCGGGGGCGGGCGGGTCAACAACTGCCGCCCGCTCCCACCGGCCACCGAGCCGCTGCTCCTGCACTCGGGGGTACAGCTGGCCTCCAGGATACGGCGGCGACAGGTAAACAACAAGCCCTCCTCCTCCTCCCCGCCGCCGCCGCCGCCGGGGGCCAATGGCAACGCCCGAGCGATTTAGTCCCTGTCAAAAAAAGAAAACGAATGGGATCAGGTTTTTTTTTATTGCGTTAGTTCCTCGCGTCGAGCTGTGTCTGTCTGTCCCTCTGTCGTCGGTCGTGGCCGTCGCCCTCGGGGCCGTTCACTTCACTCCTTGTCGGGAGGCGCTGTTACTCCCTCTCTCCCCCCCCCTCTCTCCGGGTGGGGTGTGGCAATGAGCTGACTGGCCTCTGGCTGGCGGCCGCGGCGGCGGCGGCGGCGGCATCATCATCATTGGGGGCCCACCTGCTCCCGAGAGAAGGTAAGAATTTTCTTGGCGGGGACGGGAGAAGATCCAGGTCCATCGAGTTCGCCTCCCGCCGTCTCGGCGGTCGCTTCGACCGGAAAGCGGGCGACCCCTCCCGCCAGGGGCGCGGTGTTGAACGCAAGTCGTCGTCGTCGTCCCGTCTCCCCCCCCATCCCCCCGGGATCCGTTGCCGCGAGGCGCTCGCAGATGCCGTCCGGCGTGGAGGGGCGCTGTGTGGATCCCAGGCTGTTGTCGCGGTTGTTGGGGGTCCACACGGCCCCTCCGCTTTACAGTACATTCTGCGAAGCACTTTGAGACCCTCTCAATGACGTGATAAGGTGCCAAATCAAATGCAAGGATTATTATTAACAACAACAACAACTGCCATTTACATAGCCCACTCCCCCCCCCCCCCCCCACCCTCCCCTCCCCCCGCCACGCAGGGTCGGGTTCCCAGAGCACTCGAAAGTGGCAGAGCGCAACTCCGAGCCGGGGGAGGTGGCCGTAGGCACGAGTAAAGAGGAAGGCCTTTAGGTGTGACCGGAAGATGGGGAAGGATGGGGCAAGGCGGAGGGATCAAGGGAGAGAATCCCAAGGTTTCGGGACGTAATGGTTGAAAATGCAGCCAACGATGGTGGAATGAATGGAGGTTACAAGGGACAGGCAGGAAGTCGTCGAGCGGAGGCCACAGGTAGTGGGTTCGGGAGAGGCACGTCAGAGAAGGTGTCAGGGCTCATGAAGGGAATTGAAGACAAGTGTGAAGGTCTTGAAATCAATCCTTTCGGTGATAGGGAGCCAGTGGAGCCTGGCTAGCACCAAGAAAGTCATGGCTTTGAGCTCAGATCGGGACCTTGAGCTCAGCCATTCCAGGCTCCTCCAGTCGGTGCAACTCTGGGAGTGGTGGGAGAGGGGACCGCTGCCGGAGGCACCATCCTTTAGATGAGAGACATCAAACAGAGGGTTCCATCTGCCAGTTCAGGTTGCGCATCAAAATTTGCCAGTGACAAAGAGAAGAGTTTCTTTGTGACATCCTGGCCACGCAGCCCACCCCCATCAAATTAGTTACTCTTTTCTTGGCTGTGTGTGGGACATTGCTGTGCCTAAATGGTTTGCCATGTTCGCTACAATATCCACAGTCACTACACTTTACAGTAAATCCTCTGAAGCATTTTGAGATGTCACAATGATGTGCTAATTAACTATATCAAATGTAACGATTATTATATTTAAACAATTGCTCTGATCCCCTGTAATAATAGACACAGGAAGGTACCAAGTTCTGTACTTGGTGATGAGTTAGCTGAGCTCAGTTAGGATGTACTTGGCGTTCCTAAGCTGAGAAGCGAAGGAGGCTTTGTAAGACAGGTTCCTGTTCCTTAACATTATCCAGTGCATTATCTTTCTTCCTCCATCTCCCCAAACTGAAATACAGCATGTGGCTCGAGTGGATATTTGATCTGGATAAGATCAGGCTCTATTATGTACCCGTCCCGGTGGAATAACCGGAGCACACTCATTTTGATCACACATGAATAGACACTTGGATAAAGTAATCAATTATGGAACAAAAAACCACTGCATTGACATCTATGGTCATCTACATGACTGGCATTTTATTTCATGCAGTTTTCATGTTTTAATTTTTATCTTGCTTGTAGTTTAAAAATGTTTCTATGTTTTTAGCCTATTTAGTGCGATTATGACAAATGAACCTGGACAATTATAAGGAGCATGCAAAACTTTAACAATATTATTCTTTATTGTAGGTAAAGTGTATAGAAGTAATACAAGCGTACATCAACAGGATCAGAGCTATCAATCCTATTGTCAATGCCATCGTTGCAGAGAGGTAAGGAGTGGGTTTCTAGTGTGTTTCACCCTCGACTCTAGTCCATTGATGTCCTGGCTAATTGTCTAATATCAAGTCCTGGACGAGAGCCAACTTCTTCCAGCTCAATGTTGGCAAGACAGAAGCTGTCCTGCTTGGCTCTCGGCAGTGCCTCCACACCTCAGCTGCTGACATTAACACTATTCATGGCTGCACTCTTCACCTCACCAATACGAAACCTCGGTGTCCTTTTCGACTACCAGCTATCCTTCAAACCCCACATTTGTGCCATGACCCGTCTGCCTTTCTCCACCTCCGCAACATTCCCCGCCACTGCCTCTCATCACAGGCCGCCAAGACACTGATCCACGCTTTCATCACGTTCTGGCTTAACTACGCCAATTGCCTGCTTGTTGCGCTTTCCAACTCTTTCCTCCACAAACTGTAGATTATTCAAAACTCTGCAGCTCGTGTCCTCTCCCGCACCAGGCTCCGCGAACCAATCACCCCCATTCTTGCCAGCTTCACTGGCTCCCCGTTCCTCAGAGAAACAAGTACAAAACCCTCATTCTCACCTTCAAAGCCTTCCACGGTCTTGCTCACCCCTACTTCTCCAACCTCCTAATCCCACATCAGGCTGTCCGCTCCCTCCGCTCGGCGGACACCAGCCTGCTTCAGTTCCCTGAAAATTTGGTGCATAGATACATTAATCTCAGCTATTCAATGTAAAAGTTTCGTTTCCCAGAAAAACTGATTAAACCGACCAATTTAACTTCTATGCCCCCAAAACGTAGAAAAAGCAGGGCATGAAAACAAAATTCAAATAATAATATTGTGAAATACATAGGTTTGAAAATGCTTTGGCAGAGGCCCAGCAGGTAGACAACTGGCTTGCTGAAGGGAGCGAAGATGAGAAAACACTGGAGGAAACTGTACCTTTCCTAGGGGTTCCTTTCACAGTCAAAGAGGCATTTTCATTGGAAGGTAAATCAATGAGAATATTTACTTATTCTTTCCCCTCTATCTTCCCCTTTTTCCCCCTTAATAAAATACTTGAATGTTATCCCCTTGAGCCAGAGGGCTACTTTTACAGAAGCCGAAAAACAATTTCCTTAGTTAGGCTACTGGTGGCAGGCTTGAGAAATTCTTGGGAAATTTAAGCCATTGCATCATTTAATTTCCATTGCATCTATATTCATATACTTGTTGAAACTTGTACTACAGTATTGAGGTTAATATCGTATCTGGTAAATGGGTCAAAAGAAGCAGACAGCCATTCTTGTTTTTCTAGGATCAGACAGCTGAAGGTAGTTTCCAGGTTAGACCTAATCTAAGATCTAAGTGTTGACTTATTTAAATGGTAGAGCCACTCCCAAATTCAAACTGCTTTTCCTAGTCACTGACATGACCAAAAGAAATCCAAAAGTACCAGTTTTTTGTAATCATTTAAAATTAAATCATGTTCAGAAGTTAATTACATATTGTGGAGTCCTGTAGCTCAGTGGTTAGAGCACTCGCTTTGCAAGCGTGAGACCTGGGTTCGATTTCCAGCAGGGTGAAACCTTGGGCAAGTTTCCTTACTCCAAATGCCTGATAATAATCCCTCAAAAAAACAATAATAAATTGTTCATTTCAATCCACGACTGTTTGTGGGACATCTGTGTTTCGCCCACAAATATACAGTCAATTCACTTTACAGTGTATTCTGTGAAGGGCTTTGAGACGTCTAGAAGATGTGAAACGCGCTATATCAAATGCAAGGATTATTATTATAAATTTATATCTAGAATTTTCTGATCAATACTTCAAACAAAGTATTCTTTCTTTGTAAAGATCTTTCGTATACCACAACATCTTTTATAGGGATATATCATCTGAAATTCAGAACAAATTATTCTAAACCGATGAAATCGATGGATATTTTGTTGTCTTTGTGATATTAACATATTGTATATTTTCCTCCTTCAGGCTTGCCCAACTCCTCTGGTCTTGTAAACCGTAAGAATGTAATTGCTACGACAGATGCCGTTGTTGTGGCTAACCTCAGAAAAGCTGGTGCCATTCCATTAGGAGTCACAAACTGTAGTGAACTTTGCATGTGGTATGAATCGAACAACAAATTGTATGGGATCACCAGAAACCCATACAGCGTGGATAGGATTGTAGGAGGAAGCTCAGGTGAGTGCACAAATATAGAATCGAGATTAGCTGGTTTTAGTTGTAGCAGTGCTGAACATAACTTATCCAAGGAATTGACTGGGACAGTCAGGGGTCAGTGGGCTAATGTGCCCTCTTCTTGGGGAGCAGGTTTTGGATGCAGTTCAGACAGTCAGTATTTTCATAAATTTGTTATTCTTAAGTTGATGGATATAAGTGAGGAATCATGCCTGGCAAATCCAGGTTATCTGCAACAATTCAAGGCATTATATATTTTCATTAGCAGTCTGGCTCATCAGTGAGATTGAGGTGTTGATATGTCTTAAATCCCAAGAGCCAGAGCTCTATCAGACAAGGACTGCAGAGTTATTTACCATTTTAGACCGTTCTTTTGCTTTTTTGGTTAAGTTATTTTGATTCTTCATATTGAATTTTGGGAAAAGGGAGATTTTTTTGTTGCTCACTGCAAAAGGTCTTACAATTTTCTTTGCATACGGAAACGCATCAAGAGGAAACCTAACCGTAATCTTTGGAGTTGTTTGTTGTTTTTTTTAAAACTCATTTCATAAGCCAAAAGGAAAGTGACATAGAAAACAAATGCTAATTTGTTTTCACAGGTGGTGAAGCATGCATTATTGCTGCAGCTGGGTCGCTAATGGGAGTAGGTTCTGATATTGGTGGAAGCATTCGGATGCCAGCCTTCTTTAATGGTGTCTTTGGACACAAGCCTTCAGCAGGTTAGGATTTTTAGTTGAGTTCATCTGTTTCACAATCTTGCACTGGATTTTGTCCCATATAGTTTGTACTTTTTTCACGTTTCTGCCTTCGAAATACAGCATGTAGCACGCTTAACATGACTAAGGTGAGACGGATCTTAATAGCTACTTTAGTACACGGTTTACATTTAATATTGTAATTAATAATTTCTGAAGTTCAGTTAAAGCAGAGCTGTGTATAACTGATCAGTTGTTTGCAAAATAATGTTTGCAACGTAATGTTCCACCCTCTGGTGGCAGAAAATCAGCACTGCCAATTAACTGGCTTTCAGCTGCAAGTACAGTTTCATGCAATGCAATTACATTTGGTTAGTTAATAAACTACTGTAAAATTAACCAGCTTTAAGTCAGTTTATATTGTTAAAGCTATACTCCTATTTTTGACTTGTATGTATATAAAACTGAACTTAAGATCTATATTTTTTCAAATACAAAGGGTTAGCATTCTAGGATTCAGTGCCATGGGACATTCTCCCAGCTGACCTAAAAAAAAATTGAAATCCACTTAATCTATTTGTTGAATACAAGAGGAGTATTCATTTTCTGTGATTCCTGGTCTCCAATATTTAATTCTGCAATCAAGTTTTATTTTAAGACAACAACGTGACTAGCAACAGTTCCTGACTTTATAATAAAATAATAAGAATCCTTGCATTCAATATAGTGCCTTATCACATCTTCAAGACGTCTCACAAAAATACTGTAAAGTGAATTGACTGTATATTTTGTGGAGGAAACGAGGCAAACTTTTCTGCAGTATGAAATTATCGTACAGATTAACATTGAATAATCCACACACAAATCATTCTCTTTCACTGCAAAATAGCATTGTTTGCCTCAAGCAGCTTTGTACAGCAAACATCAGTATTCAAACCTGAACATATATTTTGATATACCAGGATCCATTATATGTTATTCATGCATCAAGTATTTTATAAAAGTGATTTGCTTAAAGCAAAATTGTGACTACAGCAGGCACATCAGCCTTACAAGTTGACTACACTATCCTATATCTGTTGAAAGTACTATTTAAAACAATAACAAGTGTTTATAAAACGCAAAATATTACAGATGCTGGAAATAATAATTCTTGGATTTGATATAGCGCCTTATTACATCTTCGAGACGTCTCAAAACGCTTCACAGAATATACTGTAAAGTTTGGTGGGAGAAAACTGAAATAAAAACAGTCGCTGGAAACATGCAGCAGGTCAGGCAACATCTATGGAGAGTGGAAAATGAGTTAACGTTTCAGGTAGATGACCCTTCGTCAGGACTCAAATGTGTTTATACTCTGCTTTCAGGTCTGGTCCCTAACAACGGTCAATTTCCAAATGCAGAGCATCAAAGAATCGATTTTCTTTGTACTGGTCCTATATGCCGCTACGCCGAGGATCTTATTCCAATGTTGAAAGTCATGGCTGGTCCAAATATCTCCAAGTAAGGAGAAAAACATTTTAGACTTGTATTTTTAAATTAAACTATAGTACAATGAAAACTGGTTAAGCTGGTCATGTTGGGGACAGATATTTTGTCCGCCTTAAGAGGTGTCTAAGGGTAACCGAAATACCGTTCCTGCCCAACAGAGGAGCACCGCTGACGCTGTATAAAAATATGTAATGTTTCACTTGAAGTAATGTTAACTCACCAAGTATTTTAACCTAGGAGTTAAAGTTAAAATCGTGTACCTCACAGAAAGCGAATTCCACTGTATTTGTAACTTTTATTCTAGTTTTATTTCATAGCTTGATCTGTTTCCCGAGCAACAATTGAATTTTTTTGCGTTATTTACAAAAGGATAAAGGTTGATGAAAAAGTTTCCATTTCGAAAATGAAATTCTACTCCATGGAACATGATGGCGGGTCCCCATTTCTATCCAGAGTTGACAAAGAACTGACTGATGTTCAAAGGAAAGTATGTGAGAGAGCCACTTTTATCTTTGGAATATCCTAATCCTTTTAAAACCAAACCTATCCTCTATCCTCTGTACTTTCGGAGCATTTATGTATAATGAAATCTTAAAAATTGTATCCCTTCTGTAAAATATGGTATTGTTCATGTGGTATAACTTATTTGCTGTAATCTGTACACTAAAATGTTTATCCAAAAGGGGAAAGCCAGAGAACCTTTTCCTGTCAAAAGTAGCTGTTATCTCCAATGGCTGTTGTACCTCATACTCTCTATACTTAAATCACACCTCAGTTTTTTTTAGTTTGCCAGTTTCACTATTAATTCATATAAGGAAAGTGTTAACCTTTTTAAATTTAGATTATTTTCCAATAATTGATAGAACTAATCAGATAGTACCTTAATTTAAGTTGTCAAATACTTTTAAAAGCTGCTTACAGGCTAGCTTTCCATCTTTGTTCTGTATTGTTGATGTCCATACATATCAATGATTAGTTAAAATAAGCATTGAATCTGTATCACAACATTGTCCATCCAAGATGGGATATCTACCCACCTATGTGCAGCATTTCAGATGTGCTAGAGAGTTTGAACTTCTAGAATTCTCCATATTAAATTGTGGGATTGCATGGATTTGTATAATTTAATAATAATAATCCTTAGAAATGTTATCTTAAAATACACTAATGGGCTGAACATAATTGTTTTTCCTTACTGTCAACTTCAGCAGAGGTAGTTAAGTAATCTTGATAAAATTGTGCTTCTAATGTGTAGGGTTTTTTCCCCTCCAGGTAGTTGACTTTCTTGAAATACAATATGGTGTTCAGGTACAACATGTTCAGATCCACAAAATGAAGTATGCTTTTCAGATTTGGTCAGCAATGATGTCCTTCGAACACAACGCTGAAAAGGTAACTTTCTGAGTTGTATCTTGTGACAAAAGATATTCTGAACTTAACTGCCTGACCTGTTGAGTGTTCCCAGCGATCTCTGTGTTTGTTTTAAATTTCTAGCATCTGCAGCATTTTGCATTTAATTTACACTAATTATACAAATGAGCATTAACATATCCGTGTATAAAACTCCAACTCCCAGAATTTAAAGGGCAGTGTGTTAACCCACTCCACTACCCAGTTCTCCCAAGACCCGGCCTCTAAATATGATGAGAATAAGCTGCCAAATGTTGGAAGGCAGAATCAATTTGACAGTTTCCCTTAAAAATCATTCAAGTACACTTCAGGAAGCTGACTGGCTTCCTTTGACCAAGAAAGCATGGTTGGCATCACTTACTGTGTGCTGCGCATGTGTGTTATGGGCAGGAAGCCCATGGTAGGGAAGGGAATGGTTATGGTAGGGAAAATTCTAGAATCCTTCATCAAGGATGTCGTAGTGGGATACTTAGAAGATCACAATATGATTAGACAGAGTCAACATGGCTTTACAAAAGAAGTCATGCTTAACAAATCTTTTAGATTTTTTTGAGGACATATCAAGTAGATTAGATAGGGGGGAATCAGTGGATGTAGTGTATTTAGATTTCCAAAAGGCATTTGATAAGCTGCCGCATAAAAAGTTGATCCACAAGATTAGGGCCCATGGAATTAAGGGGAATATATTAGCATGGATTGAAGAATGGCTAATGGGAAGAAAACAAAGAGTAGGGATAAACGGGTCCTTCAGATTGGCGGGATGTGGCTAGTGGAGTGCCACAAGACTCAGTGCTTGGGCCTCAACTATTTACAATCGACATCAACGATCTAGATGAGGACATCAAATTTAATATATCCAAATTCGCAGATGACACTAAACTAGGAGGGAGAGTAAACACCGAGGATGACATTAAAAAAATGCAACAAGATATAGAATAGGCTAGGTGAGTGGGCAAATAGGTGGCAGATGAAGTATAATGTAGGGAAGTGTGAGGTCATCCACCTAGGTGGCAAAAACAGTAGAGCAGATTATTTTTTAGAAGGGGAGAGACTAGATAGTGTTAGCGTTCAGAGGGACTTGGGTGTCCTTGTACACCAGTCACAAAAAGTTAGTTTGCAGGTACAGCAAGCAATTAGGAAGGCTAATGGTATGTTGGCATTTGTTACAAAAGGGTTAGAATATAAGAGTAGGGAAGTCTTGCTGCAACTGTATAAGGTTCTGGTAAAACCACACCTAGAGTATTGTGTGCAGTTTTTGTCTCTTATTTAAGCAAGGATGTAGTCGCCTTGGAGGGGATACAATATAGATTCACTAGGTTGGTACCAGGGATGAGGGTGGTGAGTTATGAGGATAGGTTGAGCAATTTAGGCCTATATTCTCTAGAATATAGAAGAATGAGAGGTGATCTTATAGAAACCTATAAGATTATTAAGGGGCACAACAGAATAGATAGTGGGAGACTTTTTCCCCTGGTTGGAGAAACTATAACCAGGGGTCACAGTCTTAAAATTAGGGTTAAGCCCTTTCGCACTGAGTTGAGGAAAAATGTCTTCACTCAGAGGGTAGAAAATTTATGGAATTCTCTACCCCAAAGGGCTGTAGATGCTCAGTCCTTGAACATATTCAAGACTGAGATTGATAGATTTCTTGTGGATAAAGGGACATGGGGATAAGGCAGGTAGGTGGAGTTACAATAGATCAGTCACGATCTTACTGAATGGCGGAGCAGGCTAGAGGGGCCGAATGGTCTACTCCTGCTCCTAATTCTTATGTTTTTATGAAGCAACACTGATGTGCAGAAGGGTTCCTGATGTCTGTCACTTCACACAGGAAGTGATATGAGTAGCAACCTTACAATTCAGAAGTGCTGCCAAGTGGCTAGTTTTAGCCCGCCTTGTTATAATTTTGGGGGGAAGGGGGACAAGAAACAGGTTCTGTGGATCTAAACAAATCATATTTATGGTGTTCTCGTATTATGTGCACAATGTTTCCATAAATATTGGACGTGAAGGATTGTATTCTAGTTTCAAGTTTATCTATTAAAAAGAACGCGTTATTTCAATAGTTATACTGGACATTGTTTTTATCAGGAACAGCAATCCTTCAGCGAGCTGATGGGAAACAATGGAAAGAAAGTGATACCGATATGGGAATTACTGAAATGGCTTTTGGGATGTTCAACACATACATTTCCTGCTATAGGTAAAGCGTACATGGTTAAACAAATTTCACCTTCATTGTTATAGATAGTATTTAGTTACATATTTTAAATGCTTAGCCATTTAACTGATTAACAACAGGTGTATAACTAAAGTGTTGCAAATTTTCAGCTTGTGCATTATAATAATAAATACTCAACAAATAAGCATTTATATAGCAATCTTTATGCAGGATAACAGAGTGCTGTTTTGTGGCAAGGTTAAAAACATACTTTTACATCAGGATAGCTTTATTGATGTAATATTTACCTTAAACTTAAAAAAAAGTAGCAACAACAATTAGATTAAGAACTTTTCAATGCATCTTAAATTTTAATTTACTCTTTAATCTCATTTATTGCATTACCTCCATTTTTTTTACTGCAGACTTGGGAGTTTCTTGCTCCGTTGTTGGACTGTTTGTCTTGCTTCTGTACCTGTATTACTTGTTTTGCTCAGGTTTACTGCACAAAGATAAACTTGTGTTGTAGCTTGCAGTGTTTGTGCAATGATTCAATCATCTCACCTTTCCTTTTGTAGGAAGGTACACGTGTTCTGTGAACTTTGTTAAACACATTCCTATGATTAATGGTCCTGTATTTCCTGCCATAAACGACTTGAAAAGCCATTCTTTGAGTTTTGGCTACCTTACACATAATATCTGTGGTATTCATTTGCAGAACCAGAATTAATAGATCTGACAAATACACCTCCCTATGGTGATGTGCATTGTTCATTTCAATAGAATCAGATGAGAGAAACATCGAATTGACAGACTACTTCACCTCAACTATAAATTTTTAGTAAACTGTTCAGTCAAACTGACCTTGAAATGTATGGTGTATAGTAAATCTGAAAACCATACATATTACCACTTAGAGCATTCCAAATTAGACCATATCTTACAGTTCATATTTTTTTCTAAGCAAGTTCTGCTCATGTTGTAGAACAACTTGTTATGTAAAGGATGCTATTATATGTACAGCAACTTTGGTGAGAAATTGACAGCCTTTCATAATGCATTATTGGCTTGATTGATGTTCAAGCAGACAAGTACCCCTTTTGCTATAATGTTCCTTACTATTGAGTCGGAATTTCCACCTATTATTTATTACTGCATTAACATCGTTAATGTGCATAATTTATTTTGTCAGATTCAGTTTTTCTTCTAGAATAACTATTGTAACAATGTACATTACTGGATTTTTAGCATTTTCTACAGAATATTGTATTTTAGTTATATTGATATTTATTATACCAAAGAGAATGTTTTATAAATATTTCTGTAAACATTTCATAGTTATAAACTGAGGCAATTTTCAGAATTATGGATGCACTTTGGTCTCTGTAACTATGAAATTCTGCTGCATCTTTGTTTGCTTGGCTCCTTTTCTGCAATACAAGTTCTGTTGCTGGTATTTAATGTTTGTTCTGCCTTCTACATTTAGGTCTCGGTGTAGTAGAGTCGTGGGCTAAGGTAAATCGCTCCGGTAACGTCAACCTGGTAAACATGTGTCAAAACCTTCGGACAGAGCTCACCAATTTACTGGGAGCTGATGGTGTGCTTTTATACCCATCTCATCCCAAGATTGCTCCCAAGCACCACCAGCCCATTTTCATGCCCTTCAACTTTGCATATACAGGTAAATAGTTTAGTTACCACCATTCCTTGACAATAAAATTCCGAGTAGAACAGTTTATGGTTTATAAAGAAAGGGGAAATTGTTTCAAAGCTTTTGTTGCCAAGGATCAAGGCTCAATAACATAATTATAGCACCTTTAGCTCCTATAAAGTAACGTGGGGCAAATCACAGGCAGAGCCAGCATTCTGCATCCACTTTCAGGAAATGTATACATAACAATCCTTGCATTTAATATACTTCTTTATGCTTTCAAAATGTCAAAAGGATTTATTGTAGTAACTGTACATTTGGTAGGCATTAGTTTGCATTTGTTTGCAAACAACAACAAATTAAACTTGTGTGACACCCTTCACGTCGGAAAAATGTCCCAGGGCGCTAGACAGTCAGGGATTTTTGTGGGATGTCATACAGTGGTGTCCCACAAACAGCCATATTATGTATATATATCTATATATATTATACATATTAAAAAAAAAACTCCTCTTCGACCATGCCATCGGCCACCCCTCTTACCCCCCCCCAACCCCAGCTCGGGTCTGAAATGCTGTTCTCGGTCCAGCACCTTGGGATGTCCTCCCGACGTGAAAGGCGCTATACAAATGTAATCTTGTTGTTGAAGTGATTGACCAATTTTATCCAGGGGACTGTTCGGAGAGTATATGAGGTAAATGTTGGCCAGAATACTATGAGAATTTCCTTTGTCTCTTCAAGTAGTACAGTGGATTCTTTATTGTATTGCACCTTTAACCTCCAGTTCAACAAGTAAATGGGTACTACACTACACTGGAGTGTCAGCCTAGAATGAGTTTAAATTCCGAACCTGGGGCTTGAACCCTCATCCTTTTGATTCAGAGGCGAGTGCGACCAGCTAAGACATGCTGACACCTACAACTTACAAGTATTAAGAAATATTTAGTGATTGGAGTGATCTTCAAGATCTACACCAATTTCTTCAGGTGAATCACAGCAGCGAGAGAGGAGCCTTTTCTGTATGGTACACTTTTCAATTTAAAATGACACTGGTTGGGTTTTCCAAGGTATGTAATTGAGATATTTGCCCCTGGGCCGGAGTAGAAATCCTGCATCATGACTATGAGCTGGGAAAGTACTTTCATTTTCATAGCCCTTTATCAGGGTGAAACATTGCAATAAGCTTCACAAATATTCACTGCCTACTTATTTGTAGGCAACCATTTGTAGCATTGAGGTGCCACCACAACCAGGAAGTTAAGACTTTTCTATCTCTTTTTCCAACCGTCGAATGGGGATGCGAGGTTAAAATAAAATATGATGTTACTTTGTTATCAAATATCATTCGCACCATTAATCTTAATGTTACTTGTTTAGCAATAATTTGAAACCTTACATTTTTAAGACTTGCAACCTTAATTTTATTAAATAACTTAACTGTGACTTTCTGTTTTAGCGGTTTTTAATGTGGTTGGACTGCCAGTGACTCAGTGTCCACTTGGGCTGAGCAAAGACAAGCTACCTCTGGGAATTCAGCTTGTTGCTAATCACTATAATGATCATCTCTGTCTGAATGTGGCTCAAGAATTAGAGAAAGCATTTGGTGGTTGGCAAAATCCAGGTTCACTCTGAATACATTGAAGATCAACCTCATTCATAGATGGAGGGTTTTTGTACCCATTAACTTTCCTTTCCAGAATGATCTAGCAACACATTATATGCAACATTGAGTACAATTTATTTTCTGAAGAGAGATTGCTCTTTGTCCACTACCGCTCTAGAGTAATTTTAGATATGAAACATTTGTTGAAAGGTAGCAAGCCATTAGAAAATGTTTCTCAACTCTTTCATTGCTAAAATTCTATATACTGTACCTTTTACTAAAGACCCTCTAAGACTCTATAAATGATTTGACATTCACAGGAACCTAATGCAATTAGATGACCACGTTAACTAGGGCTTCTGAGAAAGAATTCATTTTGAGATTTTGGCGTTTATTGCTGACAATACTTGCTTTTTATTTAGATTTATTTAGATTTCTTACCTGCATATAAGTTCTGATGAATGTAGAACAACAGCATCACCTCTTTGCTTTTATATTCCAATACCTCATTTGCCTTTTAAATCTACTCCAGTCAAACAGTGCACTAATTGTTTCATAAGGTCTATCCACAATAACAATTAAATCTCTTTTCTGAGCATGCCCTTCCACTCAGTTTCTTGCTCTCATATATGCTCTTAATATATTTGAGTTAAATCCTGCAAGAAATGCCAGCCATTATCATTATATAACTTGCACTGCCCAACAGAGTTAAGCATTTTTCACAATAGCTATAAGATTAGAGTGAAGAAAAAGTTAACTCTTTCAGTTTAAATCATTTTTTTAATGGCACTAAGAAAGTGACTTGAAATAATTTACTAAATGTAACAATAATAATGGAAATCTAACAGTTATACATTTAGGTTATACATTTAGTTTTGTTTCGAGTGAGTTGTGGACACAGTGATGTGTTCTTATTGATGTGTAGCAAAGCATTTTTAACAAACTTTGATGCATATATTCTGATGTTTAATTTGAAAGTAAGGAAAATACTCTTATTGATTAGGTCTAGAGGGCTTTTTGTATTAGGATGCTGAAACCAGTCAAACACAAGGACGTGCATTTTCACTTGATTTTTCTCTTTTCCATAAATATTGAGTGAAATAATATTTTCAGAGACGTAACAACCCATATTATATTAATACCATCTCCTTGTCTTGCTCCACAATCACACTAGATTCACTGCCAACTGTCCAGCCTTAATATTATCTAGTGATAAATCAATTTAAAGCTCAATCTATTAAACAGCTTATGCTTAATATACATCATTGGCAACATATTCTCCCATCTACCATTGATTTTCATTTGTCTTTCAAAAGGTCTCCAATTATTTTATATACAGGACTTAGAGCCTCTCCAAATGTTGTTGTCTGCTTGTTCCATTCCTGATATGCCTACTGTTTGACTTACCAATTTGCTTTTTATTTGTGAATCCCATATTTTGGGATTCCAGAGCAATGTGCTTCTCCAGCAACAAGATTGCAGAAAAAAAGAGCAGCCAGATTCCAATGATTTCTAAGCACAAAGTTGGCTGTTCTCTCCTCGCACATCTGCAAACTGCCCCCCCCCCACATTATGTGCTGTAAATCAACTCTAGGTGGATTGCACTGCCGCCAACAAATTGCCTTCAGCCAGAATTCCTGCCTTGAGCAATTTACAAAGATCACTTTCAAAACTGATGAACCTACATATAACAAATCAGTCCACTCCCCTCCCCTGCTTCCCCCCGGATATACTTCCTATGATTTGATTGTGGAGCATCTTGAGCCTTAGAATTAATAGTTCCTAATGATGTTTTTTATACTTGTATCTTTTCTCAGCCTGCAACTTAAATTTATTTTATGTAGATGGAATTTCCATAATAACCCTTTATTATACTAGTAGCCCTACTTGGCACTGAATGGAATGTTATAAAAATATCTTCACAATACTTACAAATGGGTAGAAAGAAGAATTTCTAATTACTTTTCCCTCACAAACACACTTCATTCTCCTGAAAGCCATCCAAGCATTTAGAAGGTACTATCTGAAATTTCTAAGAAGTGGAGTCATATGACTCTTCAAACTATTATTGTTATCTGTGCATTAATTGAGGTACATTTATGTCTTCCCTTGCACTGGAGTGCTATTATCTTTGCAATACTGGTTCAATCAATAGCTAAAAAGGTGGAGTATCACTGGAGTGTTCTTCATTTGTCTTGTAAATTAGAATATTAGTCCATAATTGTTGGAACAGTGTGTTAGTATGACCTAACTGGTTAGGCAGCTTCAGCTATGAAGATAACTACATCTAAATGCACATGTTTAATTGGTGACAATTACGTATAAACATTGGTATCCAAGTATTAAGTCCCCGGGTTCCGTTCCAGCACAGATTAAATTTAGGAGTAACAACATATAACAGCATTAATGTGCAATATACTTTCCTGGAAAGAGGCATACAATTAGGACTTATTATTCAGCACCCCAATTACATGGTAAAAATACAGTAAGTGCATTTAATGCTGGTTTGAACCTAATGTTTGGTCTATTGATTTTTTTCAAAACAGAAATTCCTGATCAATTATAAGTAGATTTGATAAAACTATAATAAATGGCTAATTGTCATGGCTTTTAAATTTGGATTCAAACACAATGGAAATGTTCATGGCTTTTATTGGCATTGTTAAGACAAACTTCCAACAGCTGGAGGCCTTGCTGAAGAAGGGTACTTGTTTTTCCTGCAAATCGAAAGGTACTCCCTAACTTTCTGATGACTACTGAGCTTCTCGCAGAGCTTTAAAATATGAGGCTAATGAGTCTGATGTATGAGCTAACAAAAAAAAGCCTTTCGCTGCTATGTGAAGGAAAGTAACAATTGCAGGCCCTTTTCCTGATGTCATGATAAGATCAGTGAATCTTATTGTCCCCCTCAAGATTTTTCCCTTTGAATCTGATTAGAGTGTCTGAGGTCATACAGTATTGTGGGTAGTTCAGATCTAAAGAATGAGGAAAGACCCTATTGAAGGAGATATTTCTTTATAAGGCTATGTTCCTTATTGGCACTTTATGCGATCTAAATACTGTTTCACTCAGAAGTAATTCTTTGTTCCTTCTTATTAGCATTATATTTTCTAATTTGCATATTGTCTGAAGTTTATGTTAAATTATTGATAAACGTTTCCTTTTTTCATGCTTGAATTAATTTATGTAACCTATTGGTATATTTTGGGTGTATTGTGTTTAATGTTGCACTAATGTTATTTCATTTATGTAAAATCTTTGGCAGTACGATGTGGCCTGTATCATTAATTGTGTAACACACTGTAAAAATTATTAAAAGTATCAAATGCTGACAAAATGTGTCATGTTAATTTGTGTTTTTACGAGGAGATAAAACCTAAAAGGTAGGGTGGTCCTAGCCACAGGAAGCTTGCCGAACAGTGCTCACACTAGCAAACGGCAGTTTTAGTTGGTTAAGCTCCAGCAAGAGTATCCTAATATACACTCTTGGTGCTTGCCAACTTAAAATTAGGTGAGCACGGTGCATCCAACCAGGTAGAGAATGCACACTGCATTTCAGAAATGAAAATTGCCATGCATAGATGGAATGCATATTAGTTTACGCAAACGTGGTGATAGGTTTACACATGTCAGACACCCATCTGACTAAAGCAAATTGCAGTCTCCAAAGGTACTTTCCATCCTTTGACAAAAAGGCACTGTACAGGCTTGAAGCCTGATTGTGATTAACTTGGAACGGAAATTTAGGATACGACACTGGATATCACCTCAGGCAGTCTGAAGATTTTTTTCAATAAAGCCACAGAAGAACTATCTTTGAAGTGAGCATAGTGTATCTGTAGAAACAATTTTTTTTGCAAGAGAATCTTCAAGGAGCGTGACAGACGAACAACAAATTTACTTCAAAAAGCTCAGGCTGACCATGAACTGGAGAGTAAGTCAATTGTCTGTAAGGAATCATTCAGACTGGAACTTGGCAGCTCATCAAATGTTGGGTTGACTCATATACCACAACATCAGGAAGTGCGTCTCAAAGCCAACTGGGAACCCAGGGGTGTGTGGAGTTGGGGGTAGGGTGCGGGGAGCAGAAAGGTGACTAAATGTGTGGTGATAGAAAGTTTAAGTAAAGGGGACTTTAAGGGTGGGGAGGGAAGGGGCAGCGCAGAAGGATTCCGGGATAGAATGGCTGAAAGCTCACCTGCCCACTGGGGCAGATCAAGTGGGGACCATAACCCATCTGTTCAGCTTGATAGGTTACCACCACAACAACAACAACAACTTACATTTACACAGTACCCTTCAGGTGGGGTAGAGTCTCCGAGCACTTAACAATGGCAGTGCCTGACACCCAGCCTGGGGGAGGGAGGAGGTGACCATAAGAGTAATAATAATACCAATAACAATATTGTCTTCAGTACACTATGTGATACTTTGCTTTTTAAAAGATGACATTAAAAAAGTGTCTCATTTTCAAGTTCTTTGTGTGATTAGTATTAGCTACAGGTCACACAGGTTCTGGGATGACACATACACAGAATGCACATGAATTTGTTGGCATTTCTTGTAGTAGGGTAAACCCACCTGTTCTTATGAAAAGGTGAGTCATCCGTGGGTTTCCCTGAGTGACAGAATAAATATTGCAAGAAACGAGTTGCAAGACAGTAGTTCTCCCCAAGATAGATAGATAGATAGATAGTACATCTGGTTGCGTGCTCCAAACTTTTGTTCCATCCTCAGCTGCACAAATCCCTGCACAGGACACGCCTCTGGAAAGCATTCTGTGCTCAGTGGAGAGTTTCCGACCTGTGTGTGTGTGGACAGGCGGAGTCTGCTGTGCGGAAATGTAAAAGGGTTTTGGCGTTTGACATTGTTACTGATTCTCAAGCAAATCTATATCAGATCGGACAGCCACAACACACAGCTTAAACTCTACTCTGGGCAATCCTCGCTTGTGGCTGTTGCAAAGAAGGTGTGATCGAATGGAGATCCTGAATATAAAAGGTAAGGACACAGTTTGAAGGGCTTGAGAGCTTCAAACCAGTCTGGAATACTGTACAGCTATTGCTTTGCCCTTCAAGAACATTATCAGTTTAGAAGCAACACTTTGTATCACAGGCAAATCCAACTGCTTTATTTGGCAGGTTTTCCTATTGTCATTTCTGTTTTTTTTTATAAAAAATTTCCCACCCCTCCTCCCCCAATGAACAATAATTGGGTTTTGTTAGAAGTTTAGACGCCTCATTTTTTTCTCTCTGGTGAAAAACGCCACTGGTAACTATGAGCTGGTTAACGAGGCTTCCCTGTGACTCAGTCGAAACTCATATTTGCTTTCATTGTCAGGAAGAAAGGAACCCATCGCTAACTACAGTGTGGGTCTAGAGAGAGGTGGGGGGGTGCAGGGTGGGGGGAAACTCAAAGTTGGCTCAGATGATAACAAATTCCAGGGGAAAAAAATCTGAACCTTGGTTCAATTTGATTCATTTTCACCAGCCGGGGTGATACGTTGGTAAGTTTCCATACTCCACACATCTGTTTACCCAGCAGGAAATAGGAACCGGTTGTTAGTCAATTGGCGGATCGCTTTTCCTCCATAATAATCCCTTCAAAACAAAAATAATAATTTGCTTACTCTATCCAAGACTGTTTGTGGGACGCTGCTGTGCGCAATTGGCTGCTGCGTTTCGCCCACAAAATATGCAGTCCATTCACTTTACAGTAATATTCTGTGAAGCGCTTTGAAGAGTATTGAAGCGACTCAAATGCAAGGATTATTATTTAACCATTTCTTTTGTGGCCAGTATGTAAGCATGAAAATGTATTGTCAGTACTGTAATATGCTTTTCCATATTGCCAACTTCTGCTGTTGGCAGCTGGAAGTGAGAGTGGTGTTTTTTTTAACATTTGTTTCGTGGTGGATCAGGTGATGTTTCCCTATTTCCCTGGTTCTGATGGGCAGGACAGTAGAATCTATTTATATGCCCACAAAACACAGTCATTGCATTTTACAGTATATCTTGTGCAGCAGTTTGAGATTCTTCTGATTACACCAACTGCAAAGTATATTATTTAATTATAGTCCTGGACGCTTTTAAGCATTGACTCACGGAAGATTTCCTCTTCCCCCTTCCACCTACGTCCACCGAAAGAATGCACTCATCTCCAATAATAATTCTCAGTCGTACCCCAACTTGTACTTTGGAGTCCACCATATTGGGTCACATCTTGACAGTACAAGACCCTCTTGCCACTTTTACAGGCTCAAAATTCAGCACTTCAACCCAGCACAATGCTGCAAAATAGAAAATGCCTTTCCGTTGATGGAGAAAAATTACCCATTTTTACTATATTAATTATTATTTGCCAGAAATAATAATAATAATCCTTGCATTTGATATAGTGCTTTTCACGTCTTCTCATCTCAAAGCGCTTCACGGAATAGACTAAAGTGAATTGAGTGTATATTTGTGGGCGAACGAGGCAGCCAATTGCGCACAGCAGTGTCCCACAAACAGTCGTGGATTGAAAGTGACCAATTTATTATTGTTTTGAAGGGATTATTGTTAGGTGTGTGGAGTAAGGAAACTTGCCCAAGGTTTCGCACTGCCTGGAATTGAACCCAGGTCTCTCGCTTGCAAGGCGAGTGCTCTAACCACTGAGCTACAGGACTCCAATGTAGCATGGTGACAATACGACAGCCATGCAGAAATAATGACATTAAAATGTTTGATGTTCTTTTTATTTCTGGATTCAGCACTCACCAAAAAGTAGCTAATTATTATACTGAAACCAATTGTTGACTGAAGTTATTTTACAAATTCAACTCATTCCATCAAGAAGGAAAAAAGACCAATATTCGTTGTGTTGATATAAACCCTTATTATCTGAAAATACCTCACAGAATGTACACTAAAGTGCAGTCACTATTTTTTTAAAAAAAATTGTGGCAAATGTTATACATTATAACATTGTCAGAACAAGAGTAGATCATTCAGCCCGACAGGACAGGCCGTTTTCTTAGACCATGGCTGATTTTTAATGCAATACTATTGCCTGCCTTTTCTCCACAAGCCTGAATACCCTTAAGCCAAGTATTTATCTACTTTCCTCTTAAACACTCCCACTGACATGTCATTAATACTCCTTTGAAGTATTGAATTCCACAATTCCACAACATAAAGTAAAGAAATGACTTTGGATTTGATCACCAACAGGTTTAGCTTTTTTTATTTAGGATTTCGCCCGCAAAATATACAGTCAATTCACTTTACAGTATATTCTATGAAGTGCTTTGAAATGTCTAGAAGACGTGATAAGGCTCTATATCAAATGCAAGCATTATTATTATTTTGATTATTTTGCCCTCTTATTCTGGATTTCATCCATAAGAAAAGTCTCTCCTTATCCACTCTGTCAATTTCCTTTACAGTCTTTAAACACTTCAATCAGATTACCCTTCAACCTCCTCTATTCAAGAGCATACAGCCCTGCTTTCCCAATTTTGTCCTCATAACATAGCCTTTTCAAATCCAGGTATCATTCTGGTCAATCTACAGTTTGCCTATTGTAAAATGTGCTGCCCAAAACGGCATTCATATGATGAAACTCATGTAATTTGTACTTGTGACTAATCAGTTCCCCGAGATTGAATAAAATTTCCAGGAGAAAACTTTTCTAAAAGTAACAGAGAGTTGCTGATCGTGTGAAAACACAATGTCCTTTTTAAGGATTATGCTTCATTCCCTGAATAGCTTTTTCTTACACCATATGTTCTTGTGCTCATTTCAGGGAATTTAGACCATTTCGAATACTGCTATTTTTATCTGTTATGTACCCTTGTTATAGACTTCAAGGTTTAAGCCTGGTCCATTTAATTTCAGCCTATTGTCTCCATTATTAATATACATTTATTTTACTCACCTCATGAAGGGGTGGATTCCTGTAAACTCAAGTGTCTGCACCTAGTAATTTATTAATTAGTCTGAATAAAACCTATTGTATTGCTTTAAAACCAGACAATATTCTGTAATTAAAACCTGTTGGAAATCCTAATACATCTGTGCAAGTAGTTTGTCATTTGACCATTGATGCACTAAGTAACATTAATAATGTTATAGTGAGGATATTACCCGTGGAAAGCTGCACCTACAATATGCAAAAGCATTGTTTACCATATATTTGCTTACTTCCCGTCCCTTCCTCTTATGAAAGAGTTGGCTCATGCTGGGGTATGTTTTCACAGTTGCTGACCATCCCCAGGCTCGGATGCCCCACCAAATTCAGTTTGTAACATTGGCCAAATCAAGTCATGGATTCACTATGCTTATTTCTACTTTAGGATGAACAAAGACAGTAGAATAAGAGGACACAGGTTTAGAGTTGCTGACAAAGTTTTGCCTGACCTCCGTGCTGTGCTGGAAGATTTGTATAACCTTCCAGCGAAATTTGCAGGAGCCAAGTTGCTGACACAGAATGGTTTCTTGTAGTCAGACAACATTGTTCCTCTGGATGAGAGCATAGTTATTCTTATCAAACGTATCTGTCCACGTCTGTGAGGGAAACCCTCTCTCTCATCATTTCTACCTCTCAGACCCTGCGAGATATATGGAGCCATCAGAGGGGAACACTGTGAGACGCCTTTGAAGAAATGTCAGCTTTGTGGTCCAGCTAGACTATGGCTAAATCGACAGTGTGGATATTGGTGTTTTATCATCAACTTCTTGTACTTGGTAAGTGTAAATTATAGCACATTTTTGAAACTGTTACTTCATAAAATGAAAAATATGCAATCATTAAATGTTTCGCTCTTTCCCCCTTTAGCCCGAATAAATATATAAAGTGTATTGCATTCTTGTATAACCCACATCAGTAATCTGCACCGCTTGTCACAATTACTTGCATTCTAGAATACTATAAAAATACCAAATGCAACAGTGTGTCCTTTAAAGTTAAATATTATGTTACTGTTGTATATCAACATTTCAGAAAACAAATAAGAGAAAGCCCTTATTTTTTCACAAACCGATACAAATTTGTCAACCCTCAGTTTTACAATAATAATAAACTTGCATTCGATATAGCGCCTTATCATGTCATTGAGACATCACAAAGCGCTTCACAGACTATATTGTAAAGTGGATTGACTTATGTATTTCGTGGTGCAACGGAAATAAAATAATTTGAGAACCCTATGCAGAGAAATTTCACATGGCTCGAGATGTGCTGCATTCATGTAGCATTTGATAAAATGTTGAATTCACTCTTCGTTTTGAAGCCAGATTCAAAATTAAGGCCATATTTTAAGAATGCTGTAACGTGCTGCACTATTAAAATAAATCCAAGTGCTCTGAGATGTTAATCTGTGTGAAGGGTATTATATAAAAGGCAAGTGGTTGGAAATCTAGACCCAGGTGAAATTTCTTCCATCGTCTCTCATGTCCTTCAGCTAACAAATGCAAAATAAAGTCAAACCTCAGCAGACAATTGTCACCTTGAGACCAGCAAACTTCAATCAACAGCTCCAGTGAAGTCCATGCTTTTCTTAAATGTCCATTGTTTAAAAAAAATTCAGGTTATGCACCCAAACATTCCCCAGTGTGTTACAGTGATAATACTTAGTGAGATATCAGAAACAGCACGATTTGTATAATATTGATAATGTCGCTAAATTCAATACAAAACTCAAAAGAAAGCTTTTTAAAAAAACATTAAAACTGCCCTTCACTTTCTCCCTGGTTTCTCTCCTTCACGACTCTATTCTATTTTAACTATTGTGAACATTTTACTACGTTTACCTGATATTGTACATTTTATTTTACGCGTTGTTCTTTTTCTTACCTGATATTTTAAAAAAACATGAAAAGACTTCCCATCTTTTATTTCCTGTGCTTCTGTTTTTTCACCTTTCCCCCACTGCCTTGCATACTGGAGCTGGGTGTCCATGCTTTACGCCATTGGTCTCCAATTGACTCAAAACTGGCACACGTATGGTAAAGGAACTTTCCCCTCTTAAATAAGTAGCCCGTCTCGAACTGCTTTTCTGTCGAGCTCTCTGTAATACCTGAACGTGTGTTTACTCTCTCAGTTTTAGGCTGGCTGGCTCCACCACAGAACGCAACTTTAACTTCTGAAAACTTCAAGTACATTTTCAAATGGGAACCGGGAGCGGGATCGCCTCCAGATACAATCTACGTGGTTGAGATCTGGAGGTTAAAGTAAGCATGCTTTTACACCTTCTACATCTTGTGTACTCCCTGGACCCCCATCTCTACTCTCAAACTACAGCCCCGTCTCCAACCTTCCTTTCCTCTCCAAGGTCCTGGAACGAGTCGTCGCTTCCCAGCTTTGCTCCTTCCTCTCTCGCCACATCCTTCACGAACCCCTCCAATCGGGTTTCTGTGCCGCCCACAGCACAGTAACAGCCCTGGTCAAAGTGACAAATGACATTCTGTCCATCTATGACCAGGGCTCCCTCTGCCTCCTCGTCCTTCTTGACCTCTCTGCTGCCTTTGACAACGTCGACCACTCTATCCTCATCCACTGCCTCTCCTCTCACCACAACCTCCACGGCGCTGTCCTTGACTGGTTCAGACTGGTGACATCACCCACAGACATGGGGTCAACTTCCACATGTATGCGGATGACACCCAACTCTACCTCTCTGCCCTCCACCCTTGACTCCAGGACCACTGCTGTATTGACTGAATGTCTGTTGGACATCAAGTCCTGGATGAGAGCTAACTTTCTTCAGTTGAACGTCAACAAGACCGAGGCTCTCCTGATTGGCTCCCGTCAGCGCCTCAACAAATCAGGCACTGACAGCATCACCATCCATGGTCGCACACTCCACCTTGCTAAGCCAGTCCGGGCCTTTGGGGTTTTGTTTGAGCCGCAACTGTCCTTTCTATCCCACATCCATGCCATGACTCCATGCCTCATCCTCACCTACAAGGCCATTCACGGCCTTGCTCCCTCCTACCTCTCCAACCTACTATCCCCCTACCTACCTGCCCGTACCCTCCGTTCCTCTGGCTCCGGTCTGCTCCACGTCCCCCGCCCCAACCGCCCTACCATCGGTGGTCGGGCCTTCAGCCTCTCAGCCCCCAGGCTCTGGAACTCTATCCCCCAGTGCCTTCGCCTTGCCTCCTCCCTTTCCTCCTTCAAGGCCGGTCTCAAAACCTTTCTCTTTGACCGTGCCTTCAGCTCCCCTCTCGACTCTCTTCCCCCTCCTCGCTCCCTCCCTTCCCTCCCCTCACCCTGACCATTTCCCCCCTCCTTGCTCCCTCCCTTCCCTCCCCTCACCCTGACCATTTCCCCCTCCTCGCTCCCTCCCTTCCCTCCCCTCACCCTGACCATTTCCCCCTTGCTCGGGTCATGACCCAACTGTGCAGCGCCTCCTGACGTGAAAGGCGCTTTATAAATGGAATCTTGTTGTTGTCTTGTTGATGACTCGCTCTGCCTTCCACCACCTCCGCAACATCGCCCAGCTCTGCCACTATCTCACACCGCAGGACACCACAACCCTCAAACACGCTTTCATTACCTTGAGGTTTGACTATGCAAACATTTTGCTTGATGGCCTCCCCAACTCCTCCCGCCATAGGCTGCAGATCATCCAGAAGTCTGCAGCCCAAGTCCGCTCCCGCATTGGGCTGCATGACCCTATCACCCCCATCCTCATCCAACTGCACTGGCTTCTCATCACACAGAGGATACAGTTCAAGATTCTGGTCCTCACCTTGAAAGCTCTCCATGGCTTTGCTCGCCCCCCTACCTCTGCGACCCCCTAACCCCCTACCATCCTGCCCGCTCCCTCCGCTCAGTGGGCTCCGGCCTGCTTCACGTCCCCTGTCTCACTCGCTCCACCATTGCCAAGTGGGCCTTCTGCCACTCTGTCCCCACCCTCTGGAACTCCCATCTTGCAGTCCCTCCGCCTCACCCCCTCCCTTGCCTCCTTCAAGACCCATCTCAAGACCCTCCTCTTCAACCGTGCTTTCGATTACCCTACATCACTCCTGCCCTCCACCCTCTCTGATCCCGACCCCAGCTCGAGTCTGAAACTCTAACTGTCTAGCGCCTTGGGACGTCCTCCCGATATGAAAGCGCTATACAAATGTAACTTTGTTGTTGTTCTAGAAATAAGCTTTTATGCGAACTATTTCACTCCGCTCCCTTTTCCAGCTTTTATTTTGTCTTACATTCTTGTTTGCATCTGTCAGTTAGTAGAACTCTCACCTCGGTGGTGAGTTCAAGCCCAACATTGGAACTATGTCCTTAGTGACTAGGCTGACAGTCCAGTGCGGAGCGTGGGGGTGAGCTACATTGTCAGAGGTGCTGTCCTTTGGGAAAAGGCATTAAATTAAGGTCAGGTCTATCTGTTCAGATAGATGTTATAATAATCCTTGCATTTGATATAGCGCCTTGTTGTTGTTTATCGTGCAGAGCGCAAGCTAATCCCCAAACCACTTGATTCAGCATTAAAGCACAAAAGAGTGAATAAAAAAAAACTTAAAAGGTAACTTTGCTCAGCACAATAGGGATTGGATTTAGTGCCTTGCATGTGAAAACACTGATCTGTTTATCTCGTAACTTTTGAAGTGCTCATTGTTGTTGAGGGCTTCAGAAGCCGCTTCAAACCAGTCATCACAGAGATGCAGGGCAACATCTCCAAACCACAAGCCACATGCACCAGTTTTTATTCTGTGTTTATTTTATCTGTCTTATTGCTGGGTAAAACTGCTTTTAGATGTAAACACAAAATGAGTACGGGGCTGGGTTTTCTCTTCTCTCCCCAAGGAACTAAGTCACAGAAAGTACATTAAAGACTGCCAGCCACATAAAATACATTACTTCTGATGGGACATACTCCTCAGTGGAACATAGCCAATGATATCCTTATTTCAGTGTTCGAAGAACTGGATAAACCCAACCTGTAGCTTCCAGGCACTCATCATAAAGCAGAGACCAGTGACCTAATGTGATGGGGAGAAAGCAAAGGCTTTTAGGTCAATATTTGAAGCCTGTTCAGGGCTTTCAAAGTCTGCAAAGGTGGATTAGCGTGAGGCTCAGTGGGAAGCTAAGAGATACAGGAGTCCTGTAGCTCAGTGGTTAGAGCACTCGCTTTGCAAGCGAGAGACCTGAGTTCAATTCCAGGCAGAGGGCGAAACCTTGGGCAAGTTTCCTTACTCCACACAGTGCCTAATAATAATCCCTCCAAAACCAAAAACAATAATAAATTGGTCATTTTCAATCAACGACTGTTTGTGGGACATTGCTGTGCGCAATTGACTGCCGCGTTCGCCCACAAATATAGTCAATTCACTTTACAGTGTGTTCTGTGAAGCGCTTTGGGACGTCCTCCCGACGTGAAAAGCGCTATATCAAATGCAAGGATTATTTATTTATTATACAGAGAGAACAATGAGATGTTTCCATGATCAAAAGGTTTTCAGCTCCACAAATTGATCCTAAATCATTGCTTCGCTGCTTGAAATATGGCATCAATCATGGTTGAAGAGGTTACGCTGACTTTCTACTGATGAAGAACTAGTGTGGTGCACATAAAGGTATTCCCAGGGTCTGAATGGAGCTTGGCATTAACCTGACAGGTGTAGATATTTCCAGTGGTATTAAATCAGAGTTCCAATACACAAATAAAGAAAGCAATATGTGTGGAGATCAAACGACCAGAAGTCAGCTGTTTTTCACACATTGATTTAACTCAGCAATGAATTGTCCTGTTTTGTCCTCAGTTTTCTAATTCAACGAGTCTCCAAACCCAGCATCAACTACCCTTTATCTTGCAACTTTTTAGCGAAAAAATAAGTTTCCTTTTTGCTTTGCTAAGGCCTCGCCAACCTCTGACATTATACAATTGATCCAGCCCCAGCCTGGAAAAAAAAAGCTGGCTTGGTCTGGTATTCGACTGTGCCTTAATTTTTGCATTGTTGGATTTCAAGCAGGGATAAGATGTTCAAGCCAGTGAAAGAGTGCACCAATATTACAGTACGGACATGTGACCTCTCAAGCAAGTTTGAGACAACTACAGATTTGTATTGGGCACGTGTTAAAAGCATCATCAGTGCAAGTGAATCCAACTGGACAGAATCAAAGGAGCTGCAACCATTCCGTGACAGTAAGTCCCTCGACAATTTCCTTTAAATGCTGTGGTAGAATCTTGCAAAGGCTAATTTTCTTNAAAAAAATGTCAAGTGAGAAGCTCGAAATGAACAGGACATTTGAGGGAATGAGAAAGTCCTCGTGGAGTCCCACAGTGCAGTGGTTGGCACACTTGCCTCGCAAGCGAGAAGAACTGGGTTCAATTCCTGGGCAGGGCGAAACCTTAGCCAAGTTCCTTACTCCGCATGCCTCTGTTTACCCAGCAGTAAGTAGGAACTCGGTTGTTACTGATTGGCGATTGCTTTCCAAGGTGTAATAATCCTTCAAAAGCAAACAATCAAAAATGTGGTTACTCAATCCACAACTCAAAGCACTTCACAGAATATACTGCAAAGTGAATTGACTGTACATTTCGGGGATGAAACGCAGCAGCCAATTGAACACAGCAGTGTACCACAAACAGTCGGATTGAGTGACCAAATTATTTTTAAAAAGTCACTTAAGGAAACATGAGTTACTTATAATTATGAATCACAACCAAGCGAGTTACAAACTGCAGTGTAACTAAACCTTGTATATTTGATAACAAACTGCATAAACTACCTGAGCTTCAGTTTTGAATCATGGTCTAACCTGAAGGATTGATGGTGACAGACTAAAACTGGATTATATTCAATATAAACTTAGAGTCAGACCACTTTAAGATTTTGTTTTAAAAAATGGGATTCCTTTGAGGTCATTTAATCTGTGGTGATCGTGAACCTTTGGAATTGATAATAATAATAACATTGATACAGCACCTTATCACATCTGCAAGACATCTCAAAGCGCTTCACAGAATATACTGTAAAGTGAATTGACTGTATATTCTGTGGTCGAAAGGCAGTAGCCAAATGCGCACAGCAGTGTCCCACAAACAATCATGGATGGAGTGACCAAATTATTTTGGGGGGGATTTTTTTTTTTTTTTTGAAGAGTTTATTACCCCGGAAAAGCGATCCACCAATCGACTAACGATGGGGTTCCTACTTACTGCTCGGTAAACAGAGGCATGTGGAAACTTGTCTAACGTTTCGCCCTGCCGGGAATTGAAACAGAGTGCTCACGCTTGCGAGCCGAGTGCTCTAACCACTGAGCTACAGGACTCCACATAAAGCGTCTTTCACATAAGGATGAGGTCTCAAATTGCTTCACAGGGTACACTGCAAAGTATAGGCACTGATTAGTAGGTGAGTGCAATGCAGAAGGTGCTGTTGGCCGCAATCTCTTTGAATAGCCCCTTTGAAATGATTCCAAATCAAATGCAATATTTTTCCTAGATTTCTGGCCAGCGCAAGGTTTGAGAGCAAGTCTCACAGTGATAATTATCATTCTACATTGTTGCAAAGAGTTATGAAAATTTACTTTAATGCCTGTTTTTCCTCATTTCGTACAGGTTCTATTGGCCCCCCGATCGTCGCTGTGATTGGCAAAGAATGGAGCCTCAAAGTTACTCTCACCACGCCCAAGATTTCACTAAAAGAGAGGAATAGCAGCTCATTGGAGATTTGGAAAAACACTTGTGGCTGTTTATGTTACATTGTCAATTTGTTCAATAAAAACAAGAGAATGGAGGTAAACAATGACAATTATTTACAATATTCTGGCACGTACGCTTGATTCCAAATTATAATTTACACCTTTATTTTTTACTCCCGGCTTGACTACACCAGCTGCCTGCTCACTGAACTTCCCACAAGATGCAGATTATTCAGAACTCTGTAGCCTGTGTCCTCTCCCGCAGCAGGCTCCGTGAAACTATCATCCCGATTCTTGTCCAGCTTCACTGGCTCTCCATTCCTCAGAGAATTGAGTGCAAAGCCCTCGTTCTTACCTTCAAGGCCCTCCACGATCTTGTACTCTCCTACCCCTCCGACCTCATAACCACATATCAGGGTGTCCGCTCCCTCTGCTCGGTGGACTTTGCTTCAGGTATCCCGACTTCCCGCCCCACCATTGACGGTCGAGCATTCAGCATTTCTGCCCCCACACTCTGGAACTCTATCCCGCAATCCCTTCGCCTCACCCCATTCTTGCCTCCTTCAAGTCCAGTCTGAAAACCTTAGTCTTCGACCGTGCCTTCTTTCAATAAAGCCCTGGTTATTCCGAGACTTGAATATTGCACCTACATCTGGGTAGGTTCTCGCACTTTTCTTGCATTCCTGGACAAGATAGACAGGATTGAGTGTTTAACGCATGTTCCTTCACACACTTCTGGCCTCCAACTTTTCTTGTTCCAGTGCACCATTTTCTGCTTCTATTTTGAGTGCTCTGAGACGTTTCCCATGTAAAGGGTGCTGTATAAATGTAAGTTGTTGTATTTTTCTACTGCAGTATCATCATTACTCCCCTGAACTCTTGTTCAATCCTATATCTTAATGGTTAGACCTCTTGCCTTGCAAACGAGAGGACCTGGCTTTGATTCCTGGGTAAGGTGAAATGTTAGCCACGTTTCCTTACTCCACTTTCGAGTTATCTAGCTGTCAGTAGGAATCTGGTTGTCAGTCGATTGGTGGATCGGTTTTCCAGGGGTAATAATCTGTCACTTAATCTACCACTGTTTGTGGGACACTGCTGTGGGCAATTGGTTGCCGCGTTTCACACACAAAATATACAGTTAATTCACTTTACAGTATATTCTGTGAAGTGCTTTGCAACGTCTCAAAGACGTGATAAGGTGCTACATCAACTGCAATGATTATTATTATGAATTTGTTGTTTTCCACACCTTCCTCAATGCAGTGATATTGAAAGGTCTAGATGGTGTTGCATACTTTAATATATATGTATATATATATATATATACAAAAGTAAAAAAAGTACTTTGCAAGATTGACATGACCACAGATAATCCAGTGCATTAGCATTGGTGTTGATAACAATTAACCCCATTGGGCACACCCTAAAGATAAGGTTCAATGCAGCCATGTTACTTGACAACGTAATGATCAACTGTTGATATACATCAGTTTAATGACAAGCTGTCAAATATACATTTCAGTATAATGACTACTTTTGTGATATGTCAGTTTGACGATTTGTTATGGAATATATGTATATCACTTTAATGGCTGCAGTTTTATATATATATATATATATATAAAACATACATCTATGAAATGACTAACTAGGTACCTAGGTAACACATAATAATGATTGCCACTGTGAGATATGACATTAACAATAGCTATGTAATATTAATCAATAATTATGTATATAATTTTAACAGGAAAGGAAAAATCTAAAGGAATCATTTTTATTATTCAGAAAGTGAACCATTTCTATGTTTTTAATTACTGCAGTTGCCTCACAGAGAAGAGTTGGGTCCCTATTGCCTTGAGTTTAAAGGATATTTGCTTGCTCTTGCAAAACTTATATGGAAACAATAACAACAAACTACATTTGTATAGGGCCTTTCACATCAGGAGGACATCCCAAAGGAGGATGTGAAGCAGGCTGGAGCCCGCTGAGCGGAGGGAACGGGCAGGTTGGTAAGGGGTTAGGAGGTTGCAGAGGTAGGGGGGAGCGAGGCCATGGAGAGCTTTGAAGGTGAGGACCAGGATCTTGAACTGTATCTTCTGTGTGATGGGAAGCCAGTGGAATCGGGCGAGGATAGGGGTGATAGGGTCACGGAACCTGGTGCGGGCATGAGCTGCAGAGTTCAAACTGGTCCTTGCCACTGTTCATAGGCTATATAAGCCTCCATCCCTCCGAGTCCACTCACCCTATACCCCCAGGTTTCCTTCTCCCTCAGGTGTGCTACAACTTGATGTGCTGCAATACACATTGATTAATTCTTGTGCTTTTTGTCAACAGTCAAGGTATCTGGAGGCTACAAACTTGGGGATTGCAGTTACTGTATTTGAAGATCTGCAGCCTGTTTCCTTATATTGTGTTGTTGCAAAATTTGATTGCCTTGCTGGCCATTCCATCATGTCCACAAAATATTGCTACTCTACTCCAACCCAAAGTGCAGGTAAAAAAATGTCTATTTCATGGTTCCATTTTACTAATCATGTATTATTTTCTCAAAATGTTATTGTTAAATTAATACATTTCACTTCCTCCAAAATATCAGGGGATTGCTAATGGTAGATGATTTGGCTTTGGAGGACACCAATCAATGGTGGTGGTGGGTTAGCACTGAGCACCCAAAACAGGCATTGGCAAACCATGTGCTCTCATTTTTGTAAGGGACCCTCAAGCACCCATAAGCTTTGCCTGCTTTACACCCAAGCTTGGGATCAGGAAAAGCAAATGCTTTTATTTTACAAGGCTCCCAAGAGAAGTTCAGGTAAAGAAGGTGCTTTGACCAATTTCAACTCATCATTCCAAATCGTCTCTCTATCGCCCCCCCCCCCCCACCACCCCTTCCCAGCTTCACATTGCAGCATCAAGCTGTCTCAAGTCATTCTAGTCTCCTGTCCTCTTTCTGGTAATCCATTCCAGGCATTACATTTGAGCCCATCCTAAAATTGGCCTTCACAATCCGTGTCTTCTTGCCCTGCCAACTTGGTGCATCTGAAAGTACAGTATTTTTCTAATATATAAAATGCTAAATAGGGTTCAGAATATAGACTGCAATAATGTGCCCTTGGAAATAATGAAGTCACAAATTCCCCACTTGTAAACTTGTATACATTCTTTACGTTGTAATGTACACAACATTGCACATATGAAAGAGAAGGGGAGTCAAGGGATTATAGGCAAGTGGAACCTCATATGGAGCATAAGCACCGGCACAGATTAGCTGGGTAAAATAGCCCATTTCCGTTCATATCGTAATATAATCGTGAGTGCATTGTTGCTGAAGTTTAACTTGTTTTTACAATTGATGAACAGTTTGATCAATCCATATTCTCTATACAACTTCCTCCTCACAAAGTTATATTTCTTCTTTTTTCCCACCTCTGACAGACATCCAGTGGATTTCCATTTTAGTCGGTTTACTTTTCATGATATTTATCGTGACTGTCTTTGTGGCTCTGCTCATCAAACTAGGAGCATGTCTCGAGATGGGATTTGATGATTCAGAGCCTCCGAAAACCTTGGTATGTATATTGCCTGCTTTCGCCCACAAAATATACAGTCAATTCACTTTACAGTATATTCTGTGAAGCGCTTTGAGACTTCTTGCAGATGTGATAAGGCGCTATATCAAATGCAAGGATTATAATGATTATTTTCTATTAATATTTATGCTGGGTCTGTTCCAAGCATTGGGAACTGATGTAATCCATCTTGTCAAGACAGTATTGAGATTTGATGAGCAATCAGATAAATCCATATTCTATATAAAACCTCATCACCACAAAACTAGATTCCTGCCTTAACACACCCCCAGGAGTGGGTTTCTATATATTAAATCCCAACCCTCCAAATCCTTGAATTACATTGAATTACATTTGGTTTAGTGCCCCAACAAGCTAAACCAAAGTGTGGCAGAAGAATAATTTTTAAAAAAATTGAGGCAGTTAAGTGAAGAGCCAAGGAATATAGTACAAGTGGACACCCAAAGCAGACAAGACAGATGGTATTGGTATAAGTGGCATAGGCTGAGAGAGCAGAACCAAAAGGACTTAAGCAATGCTAGAGATTAGATTTTTGCCCTCTGCAGAAGCTAATTGTTTTTCAAAACTGTGCACAGCAACCAACAGAAAAAAACTAATACTTCCCCTGGGGATTGTGAATCTTCCCAATGCTCTGGCAGCTGCTGGGTTGTTGAAAATTGAATCATTAAACTAGGAAACTTGAGTCATAATGGATGTTTGGTAATACAGTCAAAGAACCAGTGATCAATTGTACAGTTGGTATCGGAGTCGACAGGATAGCACTTGGGTAAAGAATCAGCCAAGAATGAAGGAACTGAGTAGCTGTTTGTCTTGTTTCAACAGGCCATCCTACACCAGGATATTCACATAGATTGGCAGAGCAAAGAACTGGATGAGAATTCACAAGGAGACCACATCTCATTCATTTCGCATGATGATTTCACAGATGTTTGTCACAACGATGATCAGAGCACAATCCCTGCTGTTAAAGTGAAGCTGCAGCCCCCCCCTCTTAGCTATCATTTTAACACTGATGTAAGCGTTTGCTACGAAAGTAATGGCTTGAATAACATCTACAATGCGAGCGAGGACTACAGTGAGAGCAAAGAATTGGGGGCTTCCACGTATCAGGATATCAAAAGTCTTCCACTTTACATAAAAGCTTCTTCTGATGAAGAAAGGTGTACTTCACTGTATCAGCAGTGTGTAAATTCCCAAATTACTGAACAACCAAAAAACACTGACTGGACTCCGAGTGCTCTGGTACCAGAAACTTGGAAGAATGACTTTGGTGCCTTCTGCCAGATTGAGGCAAATACAGCAGAAACAAAGGAAGACTTCTTGGAACGTCTAAAGAATCAATTTTTTGATGTTCCTTTGAGTTCGGTAAAACTCTTTTTAAATGACGACAGCGAAGGAGGCAAGTTTGAAACTGCCCCATGTGGAGTCAAGACACTTCTGTCAAACTCCGATACTTTTTACTCCCAATTTCCTGGAAGCTTTGCAATAGTTGGAGATAAGATTGCAAATACTAGACAGGGATATGAACCCCAGCCAGTGAAACTACCTTAACTTAACAATTATGAGAAATTGCAGGATCTGGATCTAAAATTTTCCTTTCAACTCTCCCATCTTAATAAAACAGTGGAAATCTCAGGATACGAAGCTCACTGAAGAACTAACAAGAGACTGGCAACTGACTTAAAGCTGGAAATGAAGCAGATTACCAAGCAAGGTGTTAGAGACCAGAACACTGGACTTGTTTAAAAATCAGCTTGATGCTGTGATGGGAAGATGGACGGGCATGTGTTCTCAAAGGACAAGATTAAATGGGCTGAAGAGGGACGTCTTCATCCATAACCTTTCGTTTGGATATCAAAAACAAAATTCATGAAACAAAACAACAACAAAAAATATACTGAGGAAAGGTTGAGCTCTTGAAATCAGCAAATGAATCTTAAACCATGTCTCCAGTAAGAAGAAAATAATTCTAAAAGGTTTTGAGCTTTTTTTTTGCAGCTAAACTGAGAAAGACACAACATCTCCCGACAACATATAAACTTAGAGATTTTTCATGTTGAAATTACTTCACAAGTAATAAAAAGTAATAACTGCCAAGTCCAACAATAGTTTGCATTTATTCACGTGGGTTAACAAATCAGCGCTATACAGTGACAAGGTTATGCATTGATCAACTGAGAAAGGTAATTGATATTTACCCCCATAACTGATAGAAATAACTATATATTTTTATAAAAACAAATTACGTTTGTAGTTGGGAATATTATCCTTTATTATTATTTATCCTTTCTTATCCTTTATACTCATTTAAATAAACTGTCTGTCTAAACGGACACAACTGGAAGTGAAGTAAAAGTAACATTATGTGCCTCTTTTGTATTATATTCATATTTTTAAATATTTTTATTTTCTGCACTGCTAATTTTACTTTTTTTTTCCTGTAAATCTTAATGTTCAGAATATTTACTGTCTTAGTGCTGGTCACTTAGATTTGGTTTTATTTCAATGGTACAACAGATACAATGTGAACATGTTGCTATTAACCTTAAGCAAGCATCAAAGAAGGATGAGCCCACAATTGTAGCTTGAATTTAAATGCAATTATAATAATAAATAATAATCCTTGCATTTGATATAGCCTCTTATCTCTCTTCTAGACGTCTCAAAGCGCTTCACAGAATATACTGTAAAGCGAATTGACTGTACATTTTGTGGGCAAAATAAGCAAAATTGACACTGAAGTTTAATGCTTCAATTAATTCACTGCATCTAACAACTCATCGTTAAATTTAATTGTGATTTTTAAAAGATGTGCGTTCAGTGGAAGCCTGCGTTTGGCTAAGCAAAAGACTAAGATTATTTCTTTGTGGGATTTGGCCATAAAAGTAATGAAACTCAATGGGACAGTATGTTGCAAAGAATGAGTTGAATCCTGATGAATTGTTGAACCATATTTCCTAACCAGCAATAGGTATTGATATCATTTGAGTGCTCAGGCCTTTAGGGTGTTGAAGGGCCCTCATGGCAAGGTGAACTCTACATTGTTAGTCACCGAATCAAATTCAGTTTTGATGCTTTGCCTGAACTATTTAATAGTCCACGTACAAGCAGGTAACCTCTACATTCAACCCGTTAGAACGCTTGGCTCTTTGCTGTACATTAATTAGATATTTCAGTTTCAGTGTCATATCTTCTCACATATCTACTGTTTTCACACCATTCTCAAGCTTAGTTATAGCCAGATGCAAATCTCTCATTCACTGAATCATCATCCACTGTTGCAGTTTAATAGAAACCAACTTTCCTGGTGCTGTTCATGTTCAGCCGCTACAGTGAGGTGCTTTCAACTACAATATAGAGTTTACAATGTCTCTGCTAAATTTAACACAATCTGCTACCGTGCTCTCCGTAATTCTTAGGTGTCTGTGGCTTGTGTCTATACATAACGTTATTGATGTACAAAGAAAAAACCCCACCAATTATGGTGTGAATCACTGGTACAAATGATATAGTTTTTTCTTTAAGTAGTGTAGAACTGTAAATAGTTTGTCAATACCATGTTTTCAGAAAGATTCACAAGATAATAAACCTGAAATAAAAACATTGCCTTGTTTGATTTATTTGATTATGTGCCTTAAGGCTGAGGTGAGTGTGCAAGCAGGAATCTACAAAGCTCACGGTAATCACGATTGCTTTGCAATTGATTGTTCATGATCAGATTCATTGCTATCCCCGTGTCCCAGCAACTTAACTCCTGCAAGTTGCTTCATGCAATTGCTTTTGAAGGGCTTAGCATCATCCCATGTGAGTCACCTTCATGTTCACTGAGCAAGCGAGACCAGGCAGGGCGAAACCTTGGGCAAGTTTCCTTACTCCACACAGTGCCTAATAATAATCCCTCCAAAACCAAAAACAATAATAAATTGGTCATTTTCAATCTACGACTGTTTGTGGGACATTGCTGTGCGCAATTGGCTGCCGCGTTCGCCCACAAATATACAGTCAATTCACTTTACTGTGTGTTCTGTGAAGCGCTTTGGGACGTCCTCCCGACGTGAAAAGCGCTATATCAAATGCAAGGATTATAGGATTATTATTATTAGACAGCAGGCAATATTACTTACTCTGCAACACAGTATTTCTCACTCTCCAGTGGCAAATGTTGTCTCTGGAAAGCTGTCTCTCCTGACCCATTATTATATTAACAGCTGCCTCTGGAAACTATACACTCATGCACAAGCAAGAACCCTCAAAAGACGACTTGCACAAAAATTAACCCAACAGTTCTTATGTCTGGATTTTTACTTGGGGAAAATATTTGTCCTCAAAGCAAGAGAAACCCCCTCTTGGGTTTATGGCCTGAGGACACAATCCACTGAATTGATTCATTCAGAAGTCAAAAACAGATACAGAAATGTTGGCAATATAAAGATACACAACATTTGCCTGCTTCAGCGTTTCCTGTCCTCAACTTAGCATCGAGGGCTGAACCAGTAATGACTGGCACTCAGCCACTTGAATAATTTCACTATATTTATACAATCAAACCAAATGGACAGTTTCAAAATAAAGGCTGTTTTATCTGTCATTCCCAAAACAAGCAACCAGAGAGGAAATGTTGCTTTGATAAAAGGTCAACAAAAAAGATTTGCAATACTGTCATTAAAACTCAACATAAAGAAACGAGAAAGTAATCTTTTATGGTATCCAAAAATTAGGAATCTGTCTTTAATCATTCATTTCTTGGAATTTCTAAAATATTCTCATGAAATACAAATCATTTTGCAGAGAATCTGAACAATGGAAAAGGTGACATTTGGAAGGATGCCAATGACGTTTAGTCCCTTTAAAACAGGAAATGTTTATTGTCTTTGCTTAATATTATCTTTTGCGATTGGTATCTATGCAAAGCAGGAGATAGATGCCCAAAATACAGATACAGCAGAAGATGTGTGCTTGGTGTTATTGTGTAGAGATTCTGTCTGGCTTTGAGAAAGCACATTTTACGTGGTTAGAATTGGCCACCTCTCTCTATCTTGATTTAGATCAAGTAGTTAAGATGAAGATTTTAAGGGCAGAGAAGGGTAAACATATAACTCAGATATTGCAGTACTCCTTCGTCAAATGCTCTTGGTCACAGCCCTGTATAAGGAGTGCTATAAATGCAAGTTGTTGTTGTTTTGCATTTCCAAGAAAGGAAAAATAATGGTTTTGGACCTACTCAACATCATACAAACAACTTGCATTTGATACAACATTCTTCACATACGATAGCATCAGAACGCTGGAAGTATGAAAGTATATTCCATCAAAGAGGCAGTTTCCTTAAGTCCCACCATTTTATTTAAGTTACCCGAGTGAGAGAGAAACAAAAACATCTACAGGTAAAACTTCCTGGAGGCAATAAAGACATTTAAACATGACCCTAGGGGAGCGATCTGGCATTGGAATCTCCATTGTTCGACTCAGATGAGTTAGGTTTGACCAACAACACCTCAACTGTCCCAACTAGACAGGAATTGTATAGCAAAATACAATCATCTGCACCTGTACATCAGTCAGTTCATTCCTATTATTAAATGGACCGAGTCGGTTCTTTGAGCTCCTCAAACAAAATTTACTTTGTTAGATTACTGTTGACTGGCTAATACCACAGTCAGTCTTGCTGAATTAAATTATTGGTTCGTTCTGGAAGTCGACAGGCTTGATTGTTAACTGACGATACGAGTATTTTTCAAAAAAAAGAAAAGCTGTATTGAATCTGTAGGTTTTTCATCTGGTACCCTCAGCCTTAACTTTCACTTCCGTTGAAGTGGAGTCAAGTCTAAAGCACCAAAGGATTTAGTGACACACACAGTCATTGCCCCACCGATTCCCATTGATGACTTAATCTGACAGTTAAAGTTTATGCAAAGTGGTTGGAATTATCTGTAACATTTAGAAACATCTGAGGCAAAGAATCTGATGTGACATTTAGATTTTCCGTTCTAAAGCTGTAAATTTGTGAATAGCACCACCACAATAATTTTTCCTCCTAAATGGTTTGTGGCTATATGTAAAAAAAATTCAATAGCATGACATTTCTTTTAAGACAAGCTATTATTTTCAACAAGATCAGAATAAAGGTCCATATGAGAAGTCCCGTTGACCTCATCTTTCCAGAATCAAGCAGTTTCCGAAATAAGTCTTTTGTCCTAGCCTTCCCACCCTTCCTGTTATAACTATTTCCCTCAGTTTGATCATTCATTTCACAGCTGTTTGTGGACCATTGCTGCTGTGTGCAATATTGGCTTTCGCATCTGCCTACAAAATGCACAGTCACTACAGTTTATCTTGTGAATCACTTTGAGACGTCTTCCTGACTTATTATTGTTAGTAATCTTTGCGTTCAAGACATCACAAAGTGGATAAGGGTTTAGGGTCTGAAACTGCGTCACTTGACAAGGGGCCAAATTTTTTTTATATTTCTTCAGAAATCTCTTTAGAATATCTGTCAACACACAGGAACTGTGGGCGGCTGGCAGACCAGAGCTCCTGCAGGTGTTAGTCTGACATTTATTTTTTATTATTTGCCCAACTCGGATTCCGTATAAAAGGAGTCCCATTAAGAAATAGTGCAAATTAAACCTTAATGAATAATACCTATTGGAAAAGGGGCAGGAATTGCCTAGATAACAAAAGCACACAACAGTTAACTGTGATTCATTCCCATTTTGTGCCTATTCGAGGTGGAGGATGCCTGTGATAGTCACTCAATAAAACACATTGAATGCATCCAGCACAAGGACATCACAAGTTAAATCCCGAGGGAAAAGCCCCTTTGCTAATCTGCATTGGCAGCGCTCATTAACTTTAACCTCGCAGGAATATTGCAGCGGGGTGACAGTTCCACGAGTGATCCACAGAGGGAAAGAGAAAAAGAGTGCCAGAGACTGACTCATATTGCTTATATCACACCTCCTGTTGGTGGAACACAGAGCAGCTTTGATCTGTTGGTGGGTGGGATCTCGGTTACACCTTTGAGAGGGAGGAGGAGGAAGATGGTGGTGGGGCTGAGGGGGGACGAAAGGAGGACGAGTGGGGAAAACCCACAACCCGAGAACATTTAGAATGTTAGTGAATCATTAGAAATGTGTTAAAGTCGAGTTAACACCTACAAAACTGCTGCTGCATGACTCGGGTGTTACTCAAACTGTTAAACAATAATCTTGGTATTGAACATGACCTGTCATATTAGGTTTTCATTGCTTCAGGTCAAAACCGAGTGCAAGGTTCCTTACTCCGCAGCCTCTGCTTATCTAGCAGTAAGTAGGAACCCGCTTGTTATTGGCGGATCGCTTTCCAGGCGTAATAATCCCTTTCAAAAATAAATAAATAAAAATAATAATAATTCGGTCACTCAATCCACAACTGTT